ACATTTTATGAAATTTCCATTTCCCTAAATGCTACTGGAATGGAGAACTTTTGAACTTAATGTGATTTGGAAGAGAATAATTAGCCATCGTATATTTGCTCTCATCAACTTCCCTTTCTCATCCCCCTCCACATACCTAATTCTTTTACATATGAAATACACAGATAGAAGAAAATACCAACTTATTTTATTCTATCTGTGTATTTAGTGTATAAGTGAAAACGAGGGTGCTGGTTTCACTTATTTGGTATAAAAGTTTTGAAACTGGCCTGTATGCAAGCTTCATAGAAATGTACAGTTTACATGGAGAGAGACGAGGGAAGAGAACAGTTGCCTCCCTCACTCAAATGATGGAATTGTAGTACAGGTACTCCTGGAAATCATCAATGGTAGTATTTTGGTAAAGTCTGGGATTCCCAAAGCTGAATGTTTTTGGTAAAAGAAGAGTGAGGAACTAGAAGGGTCTGAGTATGCAGATGAGTTGGGTAAGGAGAAATTGTAGCAACCAAGAAAAGTGAAAGAATCAAAATGGGATAGAAATGACAACGAGGAGGTATTTAGTAGAAAAGAGAAGTGGGGTGGAATGAGAACGAAGTAGAATAGAAAAGGCGAGGATAAAGATTTAAAGAAAGGGGCCAGAACGGAAGAAAAAGGAGAGGTGTGGCACTTCTCTCTTTGGCTTGAATGGATGAGCTGCTGTTCTCAGAAGCGTCCGTCCGAGGAAGTTGAAGCACATGGAGGAGACTGCCACACCCAGTGTCCAAGCAGCAGAGGACTCCATGTCTCTAGTGCCCTGTTAACCTGCTGTAGTCGGTGCAAGGCAGATACCCTCCCCTGACCATCATACAAATCACCTGTTCAAATCTGTTTTGCTTTAGGCTGCCCAAAGACATGAGACTTTAAAAAGCTTGAACTTAGCAAAGAAAGCTCGTCTGAGAGAGGAAGCAGCTATGAATGCCAAAACAGAGTAGCAGAGGTCTCCATGTTGGCTGAATTTTGAAAATCCAGGAATTACGTTGCAACAAGCCTGTATTAAAAAGGATGTGGTACAAGGATCCATTTCATAAAGTATGGTTTGCCCAAACCTTTGCCATTTCTGTATTTCTGCTATAATAGAAATAAATTTTCTTAAAGAATGACTGTGTCTTACAGTTTTGATCCAACTAAAGTGTGGCCTCTCAGCCTTTTGGAGAAAAATGAAACAGCTGTTTCAACTTAAATACCAACTCATCTTTAGAGAAGCAGGTACTATATCTTACTTCTCTTCCCATTACCAAAGTAACCTGTCCACAGGCGAACTCATTTCTGAGGAGATAAGGAAGGCCAGTTAAGTATATGGCCCAGATGCAGCTTGGAGAGCCAGCCTACTCAAATGCCCTGGTACTGGTGGGGAGGCTGCCTCCTAACAGCAAGCCCTGACAAGCAGCCAGACCACATTCAATAATTTTTTTTTGAGACAGTCTTGCTCTGTTGCCCAGGCTGGAGTGCAGTGGCACAATCTCGGCTTACCACAACCTCCACCTCCTGGGTTCAAGCGACTCCTGCCTCAGCCTCCCAAGTTGCTGAGACTACAGGCGTGCATCCCCATGCCCAGCTAATTTTTGTATTTTTAGTAGAGACAGGGTTTTACTGTGTTGGCCAGGCTGGTCTTGAACTCCTGACCTTGTGATCCACCTGCCTCAGCCTCCCAAAGTGCTGGGATTACAGGTCAGGAATTCAAGACCAGCCTGGCCAACATCGTGAAACCCCATCTCTACTTAAAAATAAAAATTAGCTGGGTGTGGTGGCACACACCTGTAATCCCAGCTACTTGGGAGGCTGAGGCAGGAGAATTGCTTACACCGGAACTCAGGAGGCGGAAGTTGCAGCGAGCCAAGATCACACCACTGCACTCCAGTCTGGGCTGCAGAGCGAGACTCCCATCTCAAAAAAAAAAAAATAGTTGCCTCAAAGTGCATTGTGCTGTGCCTAATTTATAAAATAAATTTTGTCATAGGTATGTATGTATACCAAAAACATAGTATATGCAGGGTTGGGTACTGTCCACAGTTTTAGGCATCCACTGAGGGGTGTTGGAATATATCCCCTGAGGATAAGGGATGACTACTACTATGTAGCCATGCCAACATACTGGTTCTCAGAGAGTTATGAGATTAAAAAGTAATATCCATGGCTGTTTGGGCACTTTCTTCCCAAATAAAATACCCAGTCAAATGTAACATGGCTTGATAATCTATCTGAGGGTGTTCATGGTGTCTGTCCATATATTTCAGAGTAAATGGCTTAAGCTTCTTTATAGGTACCAAGTTCTTTGACACTTGCAAACAATGTCAAAAAGCATAGTTTCTTGTATATTTTAGATTAGTTTTTCCTGATTATTTTGGGACACCTACACCAATGTTTTAAATATGGATAAATTTTAATGTAGAACTTCTTTTAAAAATACGTAATCCTCTTTATAGAGCAATACAACAAAAATATGTTATATCTTGGAGATTTACATTATAAACATAGTCACATTTATGAGCTTTAGTTTAATAAAACTTTTTTTTTTTTTTTTTTGGGAGGGTGACAGAGTCTTGCTCTCTGGCCCAGGCTAGAGTACAGTGGCACGATCTTGGCTCACTGCAACTTCTATCTCCCGCGTTGAAGCAATTCCCATGCCTCAGCCTCCTCAGTAACTGGCATTACAGGTGTACACCACCACACCCAGCTAATTTTTGTATTTTTCGTAGAGATGGGGGTTTCACCTGTTGGCCAGGCTGGTCGAACTCCTGACCTCAGGTGATCCACCTCCCTCAGCCTCCCAAAGTGCTGGGATTACAGGCATCAGCCATGGTGCCAGGCCAAGTTTACTGAAACATTTTTATTTTACATTTTATTCCATTTATTACATTTTATTACAAATGTTTCATTAAAGCTCAGAAATGTTACTATGCATCAGGAATTTACACAGTCGTTTCTCATTTGTGTCATTCTCCTATTCAATAACATATAGTGACTGTCTCTTTATGGGTTAAATATCATTTTCTTAGCCAGAATTACAGACCTGCCCCTAAGTAATCCTACTTCTCCCAGTACCCTCACATACCACCCTTATAGCACTCATACCCTACTAGCAACTCTGGTATCTCATATTCTTCAGAATGTATCAAGCAAACAAAACTTAATGAGCACTACTATAAGGTACCGTAAACTACAAAAAGAAGACAGTTTTGCCCTTGTTGCTTTCAGTTACGGTACTATTTTTTGCTTAATTTCTAGATTTTTTTTTGGCATGTTTATCATGTTTCCATAGGTAAAGTGGGCAGAAATCTCTTTCTACTTTGTATTTCCTGTAAATGCTGTTTGAATAATGTTAATATAGGAGATTATGGTTAGATACTTATTTTTAATCAACATGATAATTTTGGGAATTTATTACTAAAATTTATCAAAGCAAGCAACCAATGAAGCCGTATCCTTCAGTGTCATTCATCAAACATAATACTTGAGTCCCTTTACTATACAAAAAACAAATAATACAAGAATACGGAGACATACTTCCTGATTCCACAGAACTTATAATCTAGAAACACAGCCCATGAAAGCATTTCAATACAAACTGGTAAATAATAGGAACGGGAAAACCTAACTCAGCTGTCAACTGTGGTTAGAGGCAGGCAGGCAGGCAGTGGATAGTTCCATCAGTGGTGATTCCTGAACTGAGTTTGAAGCATGGGCAGGAATGAGTAGGTCAGACACATAACAAAGAAGAGCAGTCTTCATCAGACATTTAGCTTGCCTGAAAATCACAAGCAAGCACAATCTAACAAGTTAGTGAAAGTTTCTTGAGAAACACCGTTTATGTTTTGGTTTTAGTTTTTTTCTTGATAAAAACTTAAAATTTTTAGACTCTTAGAATCAACCTACCCTTGACTTATTTTTCCAGTTTTTATTCTGTGGACCACCATTTCATGGCCCATCACATAGGATATTACCAAAAGTGTGCAGGTAGCATCTGGCACATATCTCCAATCCTCCATCACCATCTCTGGCTTATGCACTTGTTCATCTGATCTCCCAAACCAGAAACCCTGAAATTATTCCAAATTCCCTTGCTCCCCTCTTTTAATCAGTCATCCTGATCTGTCAACTTTACTTCTAAATATTTCTCAAATACACTGATTTTCTAGGATAGTCACTGAGAGGGGTGGGAAATTGCTCAGTGACAGATAAATGAAATAAGAGGCCTCAAGATTATAAGTCAGTTTTCAAAGACATACATGTGGCCAACAAACACAAAAAAATGTTCAACATCACTAATCATCAGAGGAATGCAAATTACAACCACAATGAGATGCTATCTTAAACCAGTCAGAATGGCTATTATTAAAAAGTCAAAAAATGGCTGGGTGCAGTAGCTTATGCCAGTACTCCCAGCACTGAAATGCTGAGGCAGGTGGATCACTTGAGGCCAGGAGATAGAGACCAGCCTGGGAAACGTGGTGAAACCCCATCTCTACTAAAAATACAAACATTAGCCAGGCATGGTGACATATCTGTAACCCTAGCTACTCAAGAGGTTGAGATATGAGAATTGCTTGAACCCAGGAGACAGAAGTTGCAGTGAGCCGAGTTTGCACCACTGCACTCCAGTCTGGGCAACAGAGACTCCTGTCTGAAAGAGTGATGGCAAGGATGCAGAGTAAAGGCACAGCTTATACACTGTTGGGAGGAATGTAAATTTGTACCACCTTTATGGAAAACAATATGAAGATTTTCTCAACTAAAAATAAAATTACCATCCAATCCAGCAATCCTACTAGTAGGTATCTACCCAAAGGAAATTACATTTTTAAATCATCTGTTTATCTCAATACTATTCATAATAGCAAAGTTACGGAACCAAACTAAGTGCCCATCAACAGATCACTGGATAAAGAAAATGTGTATATACGTATATATACATATACATATATACATACATACACACCACAGAATACTACTCAGCCATAAAAAAAAAAAATGAAATCATGTCTTTTGCAACAACATGGATGGACCTGGAGGCCATTCAGTGAAATAAAACAAAATTTTAAAAACCACATGCTCTCGTAAGTGGGAGATAAATTCTGTGTACACATGGACTTGGACAGCAGAATCATAGACACTGGAGACTTCAAAGGTGGGAGGGGGTGAGACATGGGGAAGAATTTACTGGGTACAATGTATACTATTTGGGTGAGGGTATACTAAGCCTAGATTTCACCACTATGCGATATATCCCAGTAATAAAAGTTAAATGGATATAAATCTATAAAAATTACAAAAAACGTTTCTAAAGAAAGACTGGAAGTCAGAAGCTTCGAGTTCAAGATGTGCTTTTCCATTATCTCATTTTCTAAATGTAGGGTATGAATCTCAAAATTTAACAATTGACAATTTAAAAAATACAAAAACTGCCAAAGTAAAATAAACCATCTTTTTAAATATCTACGTTTCTTGGCCAACTGGGCTATATTACTTGATTTCCAAAGGGATTAGTGGTTACTCATCCACAGTTTAATTGTTTTGTCATTTTCTAATGCTGCTGATGCAATGAGGTTTTCTGTAGGATGACAAGCTGCTGAGATCACGACATCTGTGTGGCCTTGTAATTTCTGTACAATCTCTTTGGTCTGAAGGTTCCAAATGTAAACCAGGTTATCCTCAGAGCCAGACACAATCCACTTTCCACCAGTAACTGAAAAATTGGCAAATATGCAATATTTCTCATTCTTATGACCAGTGTATGTTTTCAGGCATCTGCCTCTGGTATAATCCCATAGTTTAAGAGTATTGTCCAAAGTTGCAGTGAGAATATATTTACCATTTGGAGAAAATTTCACAAAAGAGACAGGAGGGTTATCGTCATCAACGAGCGTTTTTAAACACTGGCCTGATGCAGCATCCCAGATTCTACAGAGGCCGTCATAGCTACCTGATACTATCAAGGACCCACTACAATTAAAATGAACAGCAGAAACTGGGTCAGAATGGGCAGACAAAGTCTTGAGGCACTTTCCTGTTTTTACCTCCCATATTTTTACAGTCTCATCAAAAGATCCTGAGATGATAAGGTTGGATGGTGGATTGAAGTTACAACAAAAGACATAATTACTGTGCCCCTCCAGCGTTTTCAAACATTTTCCAGATCTTGCATCCCATAATTTTAGAGTTTTATCATCTGAAGCAGAAACAAGACGACTGGAATCTGATGACCAGGCAACATCTGATATTTCCAGATTATGACCATAGAGTGTTTTCTCGTATTTTCCATCATATGCTCCCCAAATTATGATTAGCCTATCAGCAGAAGAACTTGCTAGCCATTCTCCATTAGGACTAAACTTAACTGATGATACTGCTTCCGTGTGTCCCACGAGAGTACATTTAAGAGCATAGTTTGGGTTTTCAGGCACTTCCTTGCTCTGATTGGCCGATGAGGAGGGGGCCAACGGTGCTTGGGCATCTCCTGACTCCTTCGTTGCCATGTCTCTGGAGCTCCAAGTTCGCAGGTGTACTAGGCGTCCAGCCCTGAACCAGGCTGTCTGTCCAGTACTTTGGCTTTCTGCCCAGCAAAATGAAGATAAACACATTTGATTTTAAAATGTACGATTCTGAAAGCTTAAAATTTATGAAGTCTTTAAACTATGTGATATACTGAATCAGCAGCACGGCTTGGACTTCAGTTTTTCATCTTTTCGTTAAGTACTTGAGAAATACCGTTAGAAGGATCGTGTGCGCTGTCAGCAAGCAGGACACAAATGTTCGGCATTCTGTTAATGCATAAAGCCTTCAAAGCACAGGCGGCGTGATGGAGACCCTTTACAGAAAGCATTCTTCCACCGCCGCCCCCCTCCCCCGCTCCGAAATGTTTCAGAATGCTGAGCAACCCTACCAGTCAGACAAGGTACTTGAAGATGAATGAACTGCCGCTTTCAGCAGATTTCAGAAGCTAAAAGAAAACCTACGAAGCCACCGAAACGGGAAACCCTAGCCTGCCGGCTGTTTTTGCACGTACCGGCCGGTGTGAACTTCCGCGTCGGTCTCCAACAAAGCCGGAAAAGCAACCTGGCGTACGTACAAAGGAAGTCCCTCCTACCGCTACCGAGCTGAGATGACCAATGGAAGAAGGCCGTCTGTCCCTGCGCAGAAGGAGTCGTCGCTATTTCCGGTCCTTTCCGCCCCGCCCTTCAAATGCAAAAGCGACTGCATTCTTGGTTGAATGCGTTAGCTGGGCAGGGTTTGTCCCAGACCCTGCAGGCTAGTGTGGGAAGCCGTGGATCGTTATTTCAAAGACCGTTCAAGGCTATGACTATAACTAGTTATGTTCTATTGTTCATTCATGTTCTGATATTAACACGTAGTCCTAACATTGTACTCCTTAAGAAATTAGGACTAAGAATTTCAGTTTGCTTGCTTGGGAGGCGCAGGATCTTTAGTGACACTGCTGTGCAAGAGCATGAAATACTGATACAGGTAAATCCAAAGTGGCAGAATAAAGATTTGCATTGTGGGTTCTTCATTTTTGAGACAGTTTTGCTCGTCGCCCAGGCTGGAGTGCAATGGCGCCATCTCCGCTCACTGCAGCCTCTTACCAGGGCTCAGGTGATCCTCCCACCTCAGCCTCCCACAGGAGGCTGCCACTATTCCCAGTTTCACTACGTTGCCCAGGTTAGCCAAGCAAAATTTCTTACATGGTCTGATTAACAGTTTCTACTTCTGCTACCCTTAACTTTACCAAATAGGTGCTTTGGAAGTTTCCTTTCTATAGAAATCAACTAGGCTTCTTTGTATTTCCCATGAACATCTTAGAAATCAGCCTCTTATCTATAAAGGTGTTTCCCTTGCCCCTCAGTATTTTAACTACCTAGACAGATGTGTTGCCACCAATGTGGCAATTTTTTATTTAAAAACAATTTTTTTGTACGAGCATGGGATCAAACCGTAGCCTCGGAGTGATAACCACATTAAAGAATGTCTTAACTTCCTTCATAGCAATTCTTGACTACCAAATCCAGTCCTCAATATCAAGCATTAATACAACTATATATATACCTAGTTGCTAAAGACCACTAGCCAATGTATGAAAATCTAGTTGGGCTAAATATGGAGTGGCCACATAACATTATCTGAACTGGAACATTTTTAAAAGTGAAAGAGGGCAGTAAAATAATTCACAAGTGTTAGCTGACCTACAAATGTAAAGTGGGACTGTCCCCAGCAAACTAGTACTTCTGACTTCCAAAGAGGACACTCCTCATAATCGTAACTCAGTCTTGGAACATTCCACACTCTATCATATAGTTTATACCTCAGCCTGCTCAGGTCTCTCTCAAATTTGGTCCTGTTCTCTCACCACCCACTATGGTCTTTTGGGTTTCTGCTTTCTCCTTACCCATCACTGTCTTAATAATGCCAGGCCCACGTCGGGGTAAAGCAATGATCTTTATTGTGGACACCCAGTGGACTCCACTGGTCTTCCTCTGGTTAAGTGAATATGAATAAAGAATTAAATGAGTAATTTTACTTTCTGCAAAAAACAATCACAGAAAGGACTGTATATTAAAATTAGAGAAAACAATGACTTCTTCAAAATTCAAATGAAATGGAGCAACAATCATTCAAGCTATCTTTAATGAAGTTGTAAACCCAGTATTTTTTTTTTTTTTTTTTTGAGGAGTCTTGCTCTGTCACCCAGGCTGGAGTACAGTGGCACAACCTCAACTCACTGCAACCTCCACCTACCTCCCAGATTCAAGCGATTCTCCTGCCTCAGCCTCATGAATGGCTGGGATTGCAAGCATAGATAATGGCCTGCTAATTTTTATTTTTAGTAGAGACAGGGTGTCGCCATGTTGGCCAGGCTTGTCTTGAACTCCTGACCTCAAGTGGTCCACCTGTCTTGGCATCCCAAAGTGCTGAGATTACAGGCACGAGCCACCATGTCTGGCCGCAAACCCAGTAATTTTGTACAGTAGATAAAACAATGTAGTCTGCAGGAACTAAGGCTATGTTTTGCCTCAAATGATTTTTGTTTTCAGAAAAAATACTTGGGGTCAGTGGAATCTTTCCAACAAAATAGAAGAGAAGCAGTCATGGAGTGAAGAAATAAACCATCTTTCTGTTTCTATTCACCTAGAGAAATGGCTAAAAAAAAGTATGTGACACATACAATATGTAAAAAGGAAAAATCCCTGTTTAATAACCTAAGGCAACCACCAGCTTCCATATTGGTTGGATATAATAAATTTGTATCTTTACTGTAAAATATACCTATCTGCTTTTCTAAGACACAGGTTTTTTTTGTTTGTTTGTTTTTAAACACAAGACCTATCCTATGACAATGTTTGATTTTGTAAACTTCAGGTCAAATCATGTCTTCTGAAAAGTAACTACAAATAAAACACTTGCATGTTGAGACACTTGCTCGTTAATCCTGGTTTCAAGTTAATGGCCTGAAGAAATTCCTTTGAATTTTCTTAATCAAGTGCCTTTTACTAGCATCACAAAGATGCATGTATATTCCTTGACTTAATATATATTGACTGTCTACTATGTGCAAGGCACTCACCCATGGCCTGACAGACCACTTTGAAGCAGGATGTGGAGTGGTCAGAATGACTTGAGGTAAAGCAGAAATACTCAACAACCAGTACATTAAAAGGTGATTTTAACTTTTGACCTTCCTTGGGATGACAGTCTTTAGAAAGAAGTAGACTGTGTTAAATTCACATCCATGGCACTGCTTTCTAAGGCAGGCATTCTTCAAAGCCTTTCCTTCATTGTCAATACCTTCAACATTTGTGCATTTGAATGGATCCATGTGTTTAGTCATTATGTTATTAAACACAAAACCATCATCTGCACATTTAAAAAAAACCTGTTACCACACTTCTCTGGTCATACATAATGTTAGCACCACAGAAGGGGAAAGATGCTTGGCCTGAGAGAGTCTACATTCCAGTCTGTTTAACCTAAAAAAAAACTTAAGCCTAATTTTGTCATTTCAAGGGTGCCGATGGTGAGGAAGAGTCAGGAAGAATGGTCCAACAAAAAAAGGCTGGCCCAGCTGTGGCTGCCAAGTCTAGTTCTGGGAGTTCCTGGGCACAGATCTACTGTGTGGCCACTGTTTTCTTCAAGACACAGAATTTAAAGGGCTCTTCCTCTCCCTTGGACAGCATCTAAGGGTTGTAACCTTGGGGCAAAGTAATTTCTCTTAAGTCTTCACTTTGTCATCTATAATATAGTGATAATGATCAAAGAGTATTTGGAAGATTACATGAGAAAAAAGGAAAGCCCTTAGCCAGGTATCTGGTGTACAACAGACAATCAAATAAAGACAAGTTACCTTAATTTGACCTATGGGAAAACACTCTGGGACTTCGTTTACCCTTAGTTGAAACAGAATGGAAGTTCATCTACTTTTCTTCCTTCTTACCCCAAGCTTCTAGATGTATTTTATGTCCCGTAGTAATCTGATATTTTAAATTAGCATATCAAGTTGCTTTATCACATATTATGATGCCCTGGTACCTGTTGTTATAACCTGTCCTGACAGTGAACTATTTTATGGAATTTTTATGATAGCCAACTTATTACTATAGTAGTCATATCTGACCTTCAATATTTTTTTAATTACCCTAACTTCTGATGACAGGAAAAGGTAGACCAAAATATTTCCCAACCTGGCAGATATATATTTAATCTGTTCACCTCACAACAGAAAGAATACTGAAATGGATAAAAATTCAGATTTGAGCCTTCCATGTATATAGGCATACCTATCTTTGCAAATGAGCCCATTTTGGAATGCAGGAGTTGGCATACATTATGAAAGCTGAAAGCGAACAATGCTGGTTTCTAAAAGTGGATCCCCTTTCTTCACTGATCATCCTTAGATACCACAATTTCCAATATACTTAAAAATCATCAACCCCTAAAAAGTTATGATTTACCTACTGATATAAAACTTACAAGAAAGAAAAACCCCTTGACTCCAGGTAAACCTTTTCATAACGCATCCCCAAGTTGGGAGATTAAAGAGCTGAAATGTTTATTTTGCACTAGAGAAGTAAATTCAAAGTTACCTGTGGGTAGACATGTACAATAGAAGATTTAGTTGACAAAGTTTGGTTTATAAAATATACTTACATATTGTTTCTTAAGCAAAAATCAGCAGCAACCTGGAATAACTCAGATTTTTTATAAGATAATTGCCAATCTTTTTCTCTGGGATGATAATGCTGAAAATGACCCACAGCCAATCAGCTTCATCTGGTACATGGAAGAAACAATCCTAGGGCAAGAGAGTTTTCAAAAGCAGAACTGATAAAGGTAAGTGTTTAAAAGGGTCTTGATTAGTTAATGACAGGAACATGAAAGAAAGTGTTCCACAGATAACTCTGTCTCCTAAATCTCTCCTTTCTTCTTACCTGTCATCTACCTTCCCCAGAATTTCTCAATCCAACCACATCTACCTGCTGGTCCATCAGATACCAAATGCCTATACATCCAAAATTCCTTAATGCTTCTCCCCACCGACCCCCACCAAGGTTCTCATTACAAAGAATATAGATTGGAAGTTTAGAGGATGGGGTTTAAAAAAAAAAAAAAAAAAGGAAAGGTAAAACAAAGCCACTTTCCCCAATCCATGTAAAAAAACTCCAAAAGGGTTTTCATGTATTGAAATTAACATGCTTTTGTAATGAGCAACACCTTAGTGGTAGGGTATTCAATGAATTTAAGTTAGCAAAATTTGACAGGCAAAGAATTAAAAACAAGATTTACAGCTGCCCCTTAAAATGTCATTTCCATCACCAAAAAGCCTGCTTCAGTACCAAGTTCCAACATACCTGAGTATAATTATGCTATTTAACTTTTAGCCAATTCCAACTTTGATGCTTTAAGAAAAAAATCACTTTGTTTTTTTTTAAAAAAAAAAAAAAAAAAAAAACTTAGATCTTACAGTTCATGAACTTCTAGGACAAGATAAATTCCTCTGTTTTAGACACAAAATAGATCACGTCAGTTAAATAGACTTTGTTTTAATTCATTCACTGAAACATCTCCAACTACTAGCAAAAATTCCTAATGCACACTACTTTTCCTGATGTGGGGAGACAACTGTGTGCTTTATATTTTTCCCACTCAAATTGGTTTATAAAATGAATATTTTCACGATCCAATGGAGGGTACATAATTTAAAACATCCTATAGAAATGACATGTTACTAGTAATTTACAATTTAAAAAAACAGCCACAAAAAAGTCAAAGCTAAAAACAAGATTTTTACTATGAATCAGTGCTTCTATTACCCTTCTGAAAGAAGTTATATTTTAATGTGATGTAAAGGCAACATTGAAATTTCTTCTTTAAATTAACCACCTAATTTATCCCTAAAATTACAAAGATTCGAAGTCTTTTACAGGTCAAGTGCAGTAAACTAAAATGTTCTCTCAGCACAAAGCAGCACTAAAAAAAGTAACAGTTATAGATGGAAGTTGACTAGTTTTGCAGTGGCTGCTCCATCAATAACAAACAGACATCAGACGGTATCCATCCCAGATCACAGACACTACCACAGACTAGATGCGAAGAATGCGTCACACTCTTGGCTGACAAATGTCCTTTGTCTTTGACTCTAGCTTGAATGAAGTGGATTTTTTAAAAGTTTAAATCAGGTCACATAAGTTGGCTGCTTAAATAACATCGTGATGAGGTATGAAAGCTCTGAATATCCCTTACATTCAGCAGGATTTACCAGAGATGTATAATAGCTTGTCAGGGGCAACTTCCGAATAGTTTTTACACTTTGGGGTTTTAATGAATTCTAGAAGAGGACAAGTCTAAAAAGGTTTACAAGGATATGCTCTGAAACAGAGGTGAGCAACTTTTCCTTCAGAATTCATTCTGAACAGCACATCAACAAAAAAATCTTCTCTGGTAGTGTATCCCAACATTGAGTCAAGATGGCCAACTGGCACCGAGAAGTCATATTGAACTCATTTGCAGTTCTCTTGGCAATTAAGCATATTTTTTCATTCCAGTCCAAGAACAAATGTGGATCATTGAACACAGTACTGGAAGCGTCATTTGCAGGTACAGATTGCAGTCATCATTAAATGAGCCAGAAGGCGGATACTGTTTTTATTTTGCAAGAGTGGGTAAGGGGAAGCGGCACAGTACTAGCAGGAGATGAAATTAAATTATTAGGGAACAATGAGGTTGTAAGAAAAGACTACTGTCCTTATTTGGGTTAAGCAGGTCATGTTGAGAAGTTGGTTATTTTTTTCAGATAAGAATGCTACATTAAAGGAATCATGTGCAGCATGAAAACATTAGAATCTAGCTGCACCTAAGAAAAAAAATCCCTAAGTTACTTCCAAAAGTATGTGTTATTTGCCAGTCACAGAAGGGAAAAGCACCTAGGGTGAACTCCAATTTTTTAACGAGGACCTTGATCAGGACCACAAAGCCTGAAACATTTGTTTTAATGTAGAAACACACCCTCTAGTCACACTGGTTGCATCTGGGAAAACTGGAGCGTTTTTTCTTCATTCGTTTTTTTATTAAATTATAGGATATGGTTTTCGATTACTAAGTATTCGAAATCCTCATACCAGCAATAGAAATGAATCACTTCCAAATCCTAAGACACAAAGACCAAAGAGAAGCAAAAGCAATACAAATTAACACGTGCCCCTCTCCTTTCTGCTCTAAGGGAATCTGCAAACCAGTATCACATTTAAGAGTCAAAGTGTTAATTCTTCAGCATTCCTGACAACTAGAAAGCACATTCACTGAAGGCTGAAGGTGAGGAAGTGGATGGTTTAACTTTAATATCTGAAGAATGGCGCCAATAAAGAAAACCATCCATTCTCAGTAAGGATTAATGCAAATCTGGCTAGAAAAAGCCACCAGGTAATCCAAAGGTTCACTGTGGAAGAACTCATGAAAAGTACTCTGAAGTATACACAACAAGTCTAAACATCTCCCTTGTCATAAGTAGTTGTGTAAAATTCAAGATAAAGATTTAGTCTCATCTTTTAATGTCAGTTTTTTTCCCCCATGTTAAAGGGAATAAGGAGGAGTCCTCTTTTATTCCCCCACAAGAAAAAGGGAGCCACATTAATATGTATATATTCCCATAACTCTAATATAAGTGCAGATCTCCAAAGCCTAGGGATTTTTCCACAAGAGAGTGGGCCGTTCTGGTCACCCTTTTATTAGAAGGGTATTCCACCACAGAGAGCCGGAAGTTTTCCAGATGTGTGTAAGAGAGCAGGTGCGCAAGGCAAGCAAATGAGCGCAAACAGTTTTATGGAAAACATTTGAGAAGTTAGCTCCATGAGGACTGTGGGCTCCACAAGAGGACTCGACTAGGTATCCTGGTCTGACACAGGAACGTGAAAGCAGAGTATTGCTTCAAAGCTGGAAACCTTCCATAGGAGCCTCACACTGTTGGAAGATGTACTGCTGCTGGTTAAGGTCAACCTGGGGTGCAATGCTGCTGTCTTCATCTTCGGTCCCGAAGTAATGCTCAATAAGATCAAAGGCCTTCTGGTAGATCTCCTGGTTTTCATGACTCTGTAGGAACTCAATTTTATCCAGACCTAAAATGAAGAATAAAGGAAAATCTTTATTGAAAACTTCAATAAATATTGGAAATTCCGTAACTATATATTCTCAAACTACATTTTATCATATAGCTCCATTCTTGATGAAGAAAGATTACTTGTATAATCTTGCTAATTTATAATAGCACAGAAATGACTGCTGGGATTACAAATCTGAAAGCTAGTATTATTAACTAACATCTTAAATACATAGGCAAGCAACATCCAGTCTGCAGAAGCAGCAATTTCCCTAAAAGTCCCCTTTTCATCCAGTGCCTAGCATAGCATTATTATTTTTACTGAACTCTATCTATGACCCAATTAATTCTTGGCCATAACTTCTTCATCCAAAGCATCTTACCATAAGCTTCTTCAATCAAAGCACAGTAAGGGTTAATGCCAGTGCCATTCCTTTTGGCTTCTTGTTCTCCAAGCCTCAGGATATTTTCCAAGCCATTTAGGGCAACCTGTACAATCTTAGAGTCCATGACTGTGAGGAGATCACAGAGCGGCTTGATACAACCCAGTTCTACTAGGTACCTAAATTAATTAAAAAAAAAAAATGTAGTCAAACAAAACTTTAAATTTTGTTAAACAAATGAAATTAGTGAATGAGTTATCCTCAACCTCACTGCAGAGACTTTAAAAAAAAAAAGGCACTCTTTCAACCATATAAGCTATACCTTTTCACAAAAACAAAAAACCCCAAACCAGTTCTCCAGCACCTTTCTCCATTCTTTTCCCTTCACAATTTATGCATTCCGAAAACAAGAATCCTCACCTAATAATACTCTGAAATAAGCAACTCAACACAATAGCACAGTTTTGATTAATTTCATCTCTTTGTTTCCATAGATAGCCACATCTCTCAAACATGACACTCTTGGTGCTAAAAGCCAACACAAGCCCAATAGGTCAAATCTTTCAAACATGATTAGAATTTTAGTAAAGCAAGTTGTGGGAGGAATAAACAAATGTCAGAGGATTCTAGAGCTGGTAGTTTTCCTTTATTTCAGGCAGAATGTATAATCATATGTAATCAAGATTAATTATACTTGAACTGAGACATGATTGCTGTATCACATTCATGGTAAATTAGTCATTTTTTATCATTCTGGTTTCTCAAGTTGAGCAGAGAGGCAGGAATAATGAATCCAGTTGCATTCTGTGGATGGATTAAGGTCATTCTGAAACTTACTGCTAGTGTTAATCTATTTCTCTCTCACATGTTGCTTTTCTGTGTGGGGGAGGAAGAATTCAAAAATATTTATAAATAAATCTCTAGCCAAACAAGAAAAAAAGGGGAAAAGACAAAATTACTAGTACCAGGAGACAGCCATCATTTGATCTCATGGATATTAAAAGGATAATAAGGGGGGGGGGGGGAAGGATAATAAAGGAATACTACAAACAACTCTTATGCTCACATATTTGATCATTCAGATGATAAAATGGACAATTTCTTGAAAGATACAAACTACCAAATCTCAAACATGGAGAAATGGATGATGAGAATAGCCCTACATGTATTAAATAAATTGAATAAATAGTAACTTCCCAGAATAGAAAACACCAGGATGAGAGGGTTTCACTGGTGAATTCTGGCAAATATTTAAAGATGAAACAATACTAGTATTCTACTATCTCTTCAGAAATAAAAAAAAGTGGGAATACTTCCTAATTCATTCTATGAGGCCAACACTTCCCAAATACCAAAATTAAATAAAGACATTATAAGAAAGGAAAGTTACAGACTAATGTTTCTCATGAACATAAATACAAAAATTCTCAACAAAACATTATCAAATCAAATCCAAGAATGTATAAAAAGGATTATATACCAAGTGGATTTATTTCAAATATGCCAGGCAGATTTGACATTAAAAAAAAAATGAATCAATATAATCAACTTACGATCATTTCAACAGATACAAAAAAGCATGTAACAAAATCCAATATCCATTCATGATAAAAACTTAGCAAACAGGCAAGGCATGGTGGCTCACGCCTGTAATCCAAGCACTCTGGGTGGCCAAGGTGGGCCGATCACCTGAGTTCAGGAGTTCAAGGCTAGCCTGGACAACATGGTGAAACCCCATCTTTACCAAAAACACAAAAATTAACCAGACGTAATGGCAGGCGCCTATAATCCCAGCTACTTGGGAGGCTGAAGCAGAACTGCTTGAACCCGGCAGGCGGAGGCTGCAGTGAGCCAAGACCATGCCGTTTGCATTCCAACCTGGGTGACAAAAGCAAAACTCCATCTCAAAAAAGAAAACCAAACACATACACACACACACACACACACACACACACACACACACACACACACACACACACAATCTCGGCAAAGAATAGACAGAACTTCCTTAAGATTCTTTTATAAAGAATCTCAACAAAACATACAGTTAACATTATACTTAGTGATTGAGAAAGACAGGGAATAATGTGCCAGGTGCCATGGTTCACAACTGTAATCCCAGCATTTTCGAAGGCTGAGACGGGTGGATCACCTGAGGTTGAAAGTTTGAGACCAGCCTGACCAACATGGTGAAACCCCAACTCTCCTAAAAATACAAAATTAGCCAGGCCTGGTGGCATATGCCTTGGGAGGCTGAGGCAGGAGAATCGCTTGAACCTGGGAGGCAGAGATTGTGGTCAGCTGAGATTGTGCCACTGCACCCCAGTCTGGGCAGCAAGAACAAAACTCTGTCTCAAAACAAGAAGAAAAAAAAAGACTGGGAATAAGGCAAGAATGTACTCTCTCACCACTCCTATTCAACACCACTGGAAGATCCAGATAATCCAACAAGAAAAGGGAATAAAAAATACACAGATTAGGAAGGAAGAAATTAAAACTTTCTTTTCAGATGACATCATTACGTAGAAAATCCCAAAAGTACTTATCTGGAAGGTTGTATGATACAAGGCTAATGACATGTATTCCAGTAATGAACAACTGGAATTTGAAGTTAAAAAGACAATTATTATCTCATTTACATTAGCATCAAAAAAGTATAAATCTAATAAAATATGTACAACAGGATGTATAGGAGGAAAACTACAAACTGATGAAAGAAATCAAAAAAAGATCTTTAAAAATGGAGAAATATTCCATGCTCATGGACAGGAAGATTCAATATTGTTAAGATGGCAATTATTCCCAACCTGATCTATAGATTCAATGTGATACTCCCAAACAAAATCTCAACAAGTATTTAACAGATACCAACAAACTGATTCTAAAGTTTATATGGAAAGGCAAAAGGCCCAGAATAGTCAATACTGAAAAACAAAGTTGGAGGACTGACAGTATCAACTTACTATAATCTAAAGTAATCAAGACAGTGTAGTATTGGTAAAAGAACAAACAAGCAAAAACCAATGAAACAAAATAGAGGGCCCAGACATTCACAATATTTGAATGTTTGTTCTCCTGATGGCCTACCATATGCCATTTAGACTTTCTTTTTTAATTATTTTATTGATCATTCATTCATGTCCAACTGGGTTATTTCAAAAGACAATAGTAATTCTTCTGCTTAATCTAATCCATTGTTGAAGGTCTCAACTGTATTTTTATTTCATTCATTATTCAGGGCTAGGAATCATTTTCTATGTTATTATTGCTTTTTCAATTGTGTGGTGGTAGGACGGTAGGAGATGCTCATAGTAACTTTTGTTTTGTAAATACATATTCTTTGATTTAACCCACCACCACTACTACTGCCATCATTCACAGATTCACCAAACATTGGATAATTATTATACTTATTTTTATTAATCTTTCTTACATGTATGTATAGCTCATATCTGTTTCAATGTTTAACATTAGAAGGTTTGGGTCTATATTTTGAAGGCTAGTGATGTTTCCGTGACCAGAAATATTCACATATTATTAACTCAACTGATCTATATTAATTAGCCTATGGTAAAACTGGTTTTGATATACAACGTTTCTCTTGAAGTCACAGTTTCCTGGAACCTATCAATGACATTAAGTGAGGACTTCCTATACTGTACTGTACTCTGTGTGTGTGTGTGTGTGTGTGTTTTCTCAGATAAACTGCAAATTCATGCACACAAAAAAAATAGACTGCCCAGAAAACACCCACACAAAAACAGTCAGCTGATCTTTGACAGAAGAGCAAAGGCAATTTATTGGAGAAGGGATTCCAACTTTTCAACAAACAGTGCTAAAACTACTGAACATCCATACAGAAAAATAATGAACCTAGACACAGGCTATACTTCGTATCACTCATGAGGTTAGACAGTCCAAGTCTTCCCAATACCCAAGACTGAGGCTTTCATCCCAGTATTCAAAGTCTGCCAATCATTATCCCTCATTAAGAACATGTGTTATATGTGTGTTAACATTTGATTATATTCAAGTTAAAATTCCAGATTATTTCTTAAAATATTCTTTTTTTTTTTTTTTTTTTTTTTTTGAGATGGAGTTTCGCTCTTGTTGTCCAGGCTGGAGTGCAAGTGCAGTGTCGGGGTCTTGGCTCACCGGAACCTCTGCCTCTCGAGTTCAAGCAATTCTCCTGCCTTAGTTTCCTGAGTAGCTGTGACTACAGGCATGTGCCACCACACCTGGCTAATTTTGTATTTTTAGTAGAAATGGGTTTTCTCCATGCTGGTCAAGCTGGTCTCGAACTTCGGACCTCAGGTGATTCACCTACCTCAGCCTCCCAATGTGCTAAAATTATAGGCATGAACCACTGCTACCGGCCTTCTTTTTTATCTTTTGAGACAGTCTCTGACTCTGTCTTCCAGGCTAGAGTGCAATGGCATGATCTTGGCTCACTGCAACCAACCTGTGTTCCCCAGTTCAAGTGATTCTCCCACCTCTGCCTCTCAAGTAACTGCAACTACAGGAGAATACCAACACACCAAGCTAATTTTTGTAGAGACAGGGTTTCTCCATGTTGGCCAGGCTGGTCTTGAACTCCTCAAGTGATTTGCCTGCCTTGGCCTCAAAGTGCTGGAATGGAGGTGTGAGTGATCACGTCTGGCCAAAATATTTCCTAAAATACTCTAATTGTTTCTTGCATCCAAATATGGTATCTGCAAGAATAAGCAAAAGCCAGATAAGCTGTCCTTTATAAGTGATAAAGTCAGTTTGTTTTTTGTAATTTGAACTGTAATATTTTTGTGACATTCTTTCAAGATAACTCTTCATGTGGGTAAGAAGAAACTGCTAGGAGACTGATAACTTTATTATAAACAGCTATGCTGAATTTTAAAAAGGCATAGTAGCAATTCTATGCTTCTCTAACAGAGCAAAATACTCCTGAATACTTTCTCATGAAATATGGCATAATAAAATATGTATGTTTATGGTTTATTTCACTTAAGAAAATATATTCACTATAAAATATAAACAAAAATTATAAATGTGAATTTGAACATACAGCTTATTCAATAACTATTCTATAGTACTTTATATTTTTGCCATCTGATGACAGCATATTTAAAATCATGGTACCCTAAAACTAGAATTTTGGAGGTTGGAGAAAAACCTCAAAGACATATGTGCTTCTAAAGATCACCTGAAGTCTCCCTTACATAACCTGCCCATGATAAACTTTACCAACATAGCTATTGCATTTAATCTGTTTGCAATTTTATTATTTCAGGTATATACTTCTTATTTTCTCTACTTATATTTTTTAATTCCAAACAGAACATTCAAAATTTGCATCTGTTGAATGGCTACATTTAATCCACAAAGCAACAATATAAGAAGTAGCTAGGTTTGTCTGATACCACATATGAGTAAGGAGTTAATGCTTTAGCACATATTTGAAATCATCTTTCTCTAATTTTGGATTCTCTATAAAGAAAAGTTCAGACAGGCTGGGTGTAGGCTTCATTTTTCTCTTCATCATTACCTTTCTTCCCCTATCTGAAATAATAGATGTCCTGAATTTTGCATTTAATTATATGATGATGATGCTTTGAAGAACTGATTCCCATCCATATTTATGTTTTCCTCTACACATTAAGATTATAAGCTGCTCATCAGGCATGATGGCTCACACCTATAATCCCAGCACTTTGGGAGGCCAAGGTGGGTGGATCACCTGAGCTCAGGAATTCAAGACCAGCCTGGCCAATGTGGCAAAACGCTGTCTCTACTAAAAATACAAAAATTAGCTGGGCACAGTGGCGCACACCTGTAATCCCAGCTACTTGGGAGGCTGATGCAGAAGAATCACTTGAACCCAGGAGGCAGAGGTTGTAGTGAACCAAGATCGTCCCACTGCACTCCAGCCTGGGCAACAGAGCAAGACTCTATCTCAATTAAGCTGCTACCAAGGGAGCCATTTAAGTCTCAAGCTGCTACAGATGTCTTCCTTTAACAACTAAATACCATAGCACTTTAGAAGACACCTGCCTCTAGTAAATTTGGCCCTTTACTCTAAGACATACCACTCTTTCAATTCTGTTTCAACTCTACTATTAAGACATCTAAACTAGAAAGGGCAGGAGTGAGTTATTAAACTTGGGCTCTTGAGTTCTACAAGTAACCGAGACTACCCAAGATATTTCTGACCAAGCAGCTCCAGAGTAGGTTGAAGCTCTGTAAGGACTTCTATTGCCTCAAACCTCAACTATGCCTTACTTCTTATATCCCAGGATTATCTTCAGCAAAAAGAAATGGAGAAATATAAAGAATATATATTTAAGTATAATTATGACACCAAGGACAATTTTCCTAAGGACTGGAACTAAACATTCTTATTTAATAAGATCGTCTCTCACCTTTCCCCACAAAGGTGGCTAATCATTCACTCTAGGTATAACAGGGAGGTTATAAAGTGAGAGACACAATAACAATTTTTCTTTGACCTTACAAGATGCCATTGACTGGTACTTACTTGATCTGTTCAGCTGATCCTCCAGAAGTTGCATTTGTGATGGCCCAAGCTGCTTCTTTTCTTGTCCGAAATTCAGCAGTTTGTAAAATACTAATGAGGGCTGGAAAAATGTTGGCGTCTATCACAGTCTAAAATTAAAGAAAAATTTAAATGAAAAGGTAAACTATAAGATTTGTAAAAATATTCATATGAATTATAACTTCTTAGCTAGTATTAACGCCCCTTCTCCTGTCAAAAACAAAATTGGAAAGAGTTACATCATTATACCTAACCTTTTTTTTTTAAGTCTCACTCTGTTGCCCAGGTTGGAATGCAGTGGCATGATCTCAGCTCACTGCAGCTTCCGCCACCAAGGGTCAGGCAATTCTCCTGCCTCAGCCTCCCAAGTAGCTGGGACCACAGGCGCACACCACAACTCCCAGCTGATTTTTGTATTTTTAGTAGAGACGGGGTTTCACCAGCCTGGCCTTGAACTCCTGATATCAGGTGATCTGCTGACACTGACATCCCAAAGTGCTGAGATTACAGGCATGAGCCACTGTGCCCAGCCTATCCTTAACCTTTATGCTGTACTTGGTATCACTGATAACATCCTCCCTCCCTGGAGTTTGTGATCTTACAATCTCCTATTTTCTCTGAGTTCTTTTCTCTTTTACTGTCCTCTTTTGTTCTGTCCATAGTAACAAATCATAACAGTTCGATTTTCTGCTCCTCTGCTATTCCACTCTCTCATAGCATGCAATCTTTCATGTGTGGAACTCTCTAGGCTTCACTTCTCAGTGGAGCATCAGCCCAGGGTAGCCGGCAGTTTATATTAGGCCTGCTAGTCACCCCAAACACACCATCATCAAGTTTCCTTTTAAGCCTCTCTAGTTCACAAAGGCTATTAATTTACATTCTCAATTTTAAAAATCCTGAGTCCATCTTTTTCCTTTCCTTTGCCATTGCCATCCTATTCTAAGCCACCACCTCCCAGATTACCAAAATAAGGCTAATAGTTGGATGGAGTACTTTTACTCAATCCCATTCACGTATTAATACTAAAGTAGCCTTCCCAAAATTACTTTCTCCTTGTTTCTCCCTGGCTCAAGTATATAACATGGGTTTATACTATTTCCTACATTAAGAAACTGAGAAGTTCTGCATAAAAAAGCCCGGTAGTGACAGGCAATCAAATACAGATGAAATCACCTTATATGAATGCTACAAATTGTTATGGCTATAAATCTCAGTTCCTAATTCAGCATTTTGGAGACAAAATGCTTTTCTGGTGAAAAATTCTATTATACCAGTAAAGGAAGTCAACAAAGTTTGACAAAGTTGATTAGTGGAAAGACACCTAACCCTGGTCCTGTCATTTACTAGAGGTGCCCTTGAGCGAATCATTTTAATGCCATGAGCCACTTCATCTTTTTATTCAAATTTTATTGACAAATAGTAATTGTACATATTAGTGGGATACAATGTAATGGATATTTCAATACATTGAGTAAATGAAAATTTTGGATTAGATGACCCCTATGTTTCCACTCATCTCAAAAGTCCTCTAAGTCTGTGTTATATCTTTTCCTATCCATTGTTCCATCCTTGATCATTGCCCAGGCTGAAGGCTGTGGCCCACTGGTTGTCTTCCACTTGAGTTACTCTCCCACCAATAAAAAGACAAAAGTAAAAACCAAGTAACTATTTACAGAAAAATGGTTATCCGAAAATTCATGAAAATCTGAGGCATTCTACCACGTGGGTCCCTCAGAAAAATACGTATCTGCTTGTAAAGAGTAAAGCCAGTATGTTCAGCATAAAGCCCATCAAAACATTTTGAAAATACAAGACACTATTTCTTGGATCTTAGTGAAACGTCAAATATTAAAGGCACAAGGAAAACAAAGGCTTAAGTGTAAATTTCAAAAGACTTAACATCTATAAGCTAGGATAGAAGTGAAAAGCTGACTATGAAGTAAGACAACATTGGAAGTTAGTGGTCTTCAAAGCAACAGTGAAAACAATATATGCTTTGTTTTGTTTTGTTTTGATACGGAGTCTGGCTGTCACCAAGGACGGAGTGCAGTGGCACAATCTTGGCTCACTGCAACCTCTACCTCCTGGGTTCAAGTGATTCTCCTGCCTCAGCCTCCCGAGTAGCTGGGACTACAGGCACACGCCACTACGCCCAGCTAATTTTTTGTATTTTTTGTAGAGACAGGGTTTCATCATGTCAACCAAGCTGGTCTTCAATTCCTGACCTCAAGTGATCCGCTGGCCTCAGCATCCCAGAGTGCTGAGATTACAGGCATGAGCCACAGTGTCCGGCCAAAAACAATATTATGTTTTAAAGAGTGACTGAAAAAAAACTTTCTTTTAAATAAAAATACTGAAAGATAGGTCCTATAAGTTTACCTGGATCTGTGCCCTATTTCCAGCTGTAATATTAGATATTGTCCAACATGCTTCCTTTTTGATAGATTCCTTTGGGCTACTCAGTAAATGTAATAAACTCTGCAGAGCTGAGCAATTCAAAATTACCTAAAAGAAAAAGTTTGAAAATTTTACTTATCGTATTGTTCTAAATATAAGTAAATGTTTAACCTAAGGAACGTATTTGAGTAAAAATTTAGGCAAAAACATAACATCTCCCATTGAAATTTTATAAATAAGTAACCTTATACAGGTAAAAAAATAAGCATTCACTGTTAATAAGAATTAGTTTCTAAGATTATCAATCCAGTTTCATTCACACACATTGACAACTGCTAAACTGCACTGAAGATACAGTAATGTTATTATTAGCAATTGCAAGAAGATTACTCATTCACCTTCTTATCCCAATAGCATAAGTCTTCTGAATGGGTAAATATATCAACTGGCCAGAAAGTCAGGAGTCTCAGATTTTTAGGTCCTCTGATAACCCACTACCTGGCAGTCAATGAACCAATACATACTTAATGAAATATATCAGGTGCTTTATAAGATACAAAGACAATAAAGGTATGACCCCAGCTATCAATTTATAACAGTGAGGGAGGTAACACAAATACACATGGAGAAGGAGACCTACTCTACTAGAAACTAAATTCATAAAAGTTTGATTAAAATACTGTATGGCAGGTTTGAAAATCACTAAACATAGAGAACACAGATCTATCCTAGAAACAAACGGAACTATTTATAAAGTTTATAATAAAAGGTAATCCCTTCTTCCAATGACCAGTGGCTTTGACAGAACTAAAATAAAAAGCTAAATAGTTGAAAAACATATTTTCAAAATTAGTTCTTAACCGTGATATAGTTTGGATCTGTGTCCCCATCCAAATCACATGTGAAATTTTAATTCCCCAAGGTTGAAGGTAGGGCCTGATGGGAGGTGACTGGATCACGGGGGTGGATCCTGTACGAATGGTTTAGCACCATCCTCTTGGTTCTATTCTAGTATGCAGCACCTTCCCCCACTCCTTGCTCCTGCTCAGGTCACACAAGACATGCCTTTCTCGTCACCTTCTGCCATGACTTTTAAGTTTCCTGAGGCCTCTCCAGAAGCAGAAGCTACTTTTTTTTTTTAATTGCATTTTAGATTTCGGGGTACATGTAAAGAACATGCAAGATTGTTGCATAGGTACACACATGACAGTGTGATTTGCTCCTTTCCTCCCCATCACCTGTATCTGGCATTTCTCCCCATGCTATCTCTCCCCAACTCCCTATCCCCTGCTGTCCCTCTCCTATTTCCCCCAACAGACCCCAGTGTGTGACGCTCCCCTCCCTGTGTCCATGTGTTCTCATTGTTCAACACCCGCCTATGAGTGAGAACATGCGGTGTTTGATTTTCCGTTCTGTCAGTTTGCTAAGAATGGTGGTTTCCAGGTTCATCCATGTCCCTACAAAGGACACCAACTCATCATTTTTTGATGGCTGCATAATATTCCATGGTGTATATGTGCCACATTTTCCCTGTCCAGTCTATCATCGATGGGCATTTGGGTTGGTTCCAGCTCTTTGGTATTGTAAACAGTGCTGCAATGAACACTCATGTGCATGTGTCCTTATAGTCAAACGATTTATAATCCTTTGGATATATACCCAGTAATGGGATTGCTGGGTGAAAGGGAATTTCTATTTCTAGGTCCTTGAAGAACTGCCACACTGTCGTCCACAATGGCTGAACTAATTTACACTCCCACCAACAGTGTAAAAGTGTTCCTATTTCTCCACATCCTCTCCAGCATCTGTTGTCTCCAGATTTTTTAATCATCACCATTCTAACTGGTGTGAGATGGTGTCTCAAAGTAGTTTTGATTTGCGTTTCTCTAATGACCAGTGATGATGAGCATTTTTTCATGTTTGTTGGCCTCACGTAGGTCTTCTTTTGAGAAGTGTCTGTTCATATCCTTCGCCCACTTTTGAATGGGCTTGTTTTTTTCTTGTAATCCACAGAAGCTGTGGAGTTTGATTAGGTCACATTTGTCTATTTTGGCTTTTGTTGCCAATGCTTTTCGTGTTTTGGTCGTGAAGTCCTTGCCTCTGCCTATGTCCTGAATGGTTTTGCCTAAATTTTCTTCTAGAATTTTTATGGTGTTAGGTGTTATGTTTAAGTCTTTAATCCATCTGGAGTTAATTTTAGTGTAAGGTGTCAGGAAGGAGTCCAGTTTCTGCTTTCTGTACATGGCTAGCCAGTTTTCCCAACACCGTTTATTAAACAGGGAATCCTTTCCCCATTGCTTGTTTTTGTCAGGTTTGTAAAAGATCAGATGGTTGTAGATGTGTTGTGTTGCCTCTGAGGACTCTGTTCTGTTCCATTGGTCTGTATCTCTGTTTTGGTACCAGTACCATACTGTTTTGATTACCGTAGCCTTGTAGTACAGTTTGAAGTCCGGCAGCATGATGCCTCCGCTTTGATCTTTCTGCTTAGAATTGACTTGGCTATGCGGGCTCTCTGTTGGTTCCATATGAAGTTGAAGGTGTTTTTTTCCAGTTTTGTGAAGAAGGTCATTGGTGGCTTGATGAGGATAGCGTTGAATTTGTAAATTACTTTGGGCAGTATGGCCATTTTCATGATATTGATTCTTCCTAACCATGAACACAGAATGTTTCTCCATCTGTTTGTGTCCTCTCTTACTTCACTGAGCAGTGCTTTGTAGTTCTCCTTGAAGAAGTCCTTTACGTCCCTTGTTAGTTGCATTCCTAGGTATTTTATTCTCTTTGTAGCAATTGTGAACGACAGTCCATTCTTGATTTGGCTCTCTTTTAGTCTGTTATTGGTGTATAGGAATGCTTGTGATTTTCTGCACATTGATTTTGTATCCTGAGACTTTGCTGAAGTTGCTGATCAGTTTCAGGAGATTTTGGGCTGAGACGATGGGGTCTTCTAGATATACAATCATGTCATCTGCAAACAGAGACAATTTGACTTCCTCCTTTCCTATTTGAATACACTTTATTTCTTTTTCTTGCCTGATTGCTCTGGCTAGAACTTCCAGTACTATATTGAATAGGAGTGGTGAGACAGGGCATGCTTGTGTAGTGCCAGATTTCAAAGGGAATGCTTCCAGTTTTTGCCCATTCAGTATGATATTGGCTGTGGGTTTGTCGTATATAGCTTTTATTATTTTGAGATATGTTCCGTCAATACCTAATTTAGTGAGGGTTTTTAGCATAAAGGGCTGCTGAATTGTGTCAAAGGCCTTCTCTCCATCAATTGAGATAATCATGTGGTTTTTGTCTTTGGTTCTGTTTATTTGGTGAATTATGTTTATAGACTCACGTACGTTGAACCAGCCTTGCATCGCCGGGATGAATCCTACTTGATCATGGTGGATAAGCTTTTTGATGTGCTGTTGCAATTGGTTTGCCAGTATTTTATTGAAGATTTTTGCATCTATGTTCATCATGGCTATTGGCCTGAAGTTTTCTTTCCTTGCTGAGTCTCTGCCGGATTTTGGTATCAGGATGATGTTGGTCTCATAAAATGATTTGGGAAGGATTCCCTCTTTTAGGATTGTCTGAAATAGTTTCAGAAGGAATGGTACAAGCTCCTCTATGTCTGGCAGAATTCAGCTGTGAACCCATGTGGACCTGGGCTGTTTTTGGGTGGTAGGCTCTTAATTGTTGCCTCAATTTCAGACCTTGTTATTGGTCTATTCAGGGTTTCGACTTCTTCCTGGTTTAGGCTTGGGAGGATGCAAGTGTGCAGGAATTTATCCATTTCTTCCAGGTTTACTAGTTTATGTGCATAGAGGTGTTTGTAATAATCTCTGATGATGGTTTAAATTTCTGTGGAATCTGTGGTGATATCCCCTTTATCGTTTCTTATTGCATCTATTTGATTATTCTCTCTTTTCTTTTTTATTAATCTGGCTAGTGGTCTGTCAATTCATCGATATTTTCAAAAAACCAGCTCCTAGGTTTATTGATTTTTTTTGAAGGGTTTTTTGTGTCTCTATCTCCTTCAGTTCAGCTCTGATCTTAATTTATTTTTTGTCTTCTGCTAGGTTTTGAGTTTTTTTATCTTGCTCCTCTAGCTCTTTCAATTTTGATGATAGGGTGTCAATGTTAGATCTCTCCTTGCTTCTCATGTGGGCATTTATTGCTATATATTTTCCTCTAGAGACTGCTTTAAATGTGTCCCAGAGATTCTGGTATGTTGTGTCTTCGTTCTTGTTGGTTTCCAAGAAGATATTTATTTCTGCCTTCATTTCATTGTTTATCCAGTCAACATTCAAGAGTCAGTTGTTCAGTTTCCATGAAGCTGTGCGGTTCTGAGTTAGTTTCTGAATTCTGAGTTCTAACTTGATTGCACTGTGGTCTGAGAGACTGTTATGATTTCCGTTCTTTTCCATTTGCTGAGGAGTGATTTACTTCCAATGATGTGGTCAGTTTTAGAGTAGGTGCCATGTGGTGCTGAAAAGAAGGTATATTCTGTGGATTTGGAGTGGAGAGTTCTGTAAGTGTCTATTAGGTTTGCTTGGTCCAGGTTCTGAGTTCAAGTCCTGGATACCCTTGTTGATTTTCTGTCTCATTGATCTGTCTAATATTGACAATGGGGTGTTATAGTCTCCCACTATTATTGTGTGGGAGTCTAAGACTCTCTGTAAGTCATTAAGAACTTTCCTTATGTATCTGGGTGTTCCTGTATTGGGTGTGTATATATTTAGGATCGTTAGCTCTTCTTGTTGCATTGATCCTTTTACCATTTTGTAATGTCCTTCTTTGTCTCTTTTGATCTCTTTTGGTTTAAAGTCTATTTTATCAGAGACGAGACTTGCAACTCCTGCTTTTTTTTGCTCTCCATTTGCTTGGTAAATGTTGCTCCATCCCTTTGTTTTGAGCCTTTGTGTATCCTTGCATGTGAGATGGGTTTCCTGGATACAGTACACCAATGGGTTTTGGCTTTTTATCCAATTTGCCAGTCTGTCTTTTGATTGGGGCATTTAGCCCATTTACATTTAGGGTATTTCAGTAGAGACAGGGTTTCACCATGTTGGCCAGGGTTATCTTAATCTCCTGACCTCGTGACCCACTTGCCTTGGCCTCCCAGAGTACTGAGATGACAGGCATGAGCCACTGTGCCCAGCCAGTGTAGTACTCTTTTTAAAAGAACAAAGAAACAATTATCACTTCTTCATACCTGTGTCTGAATATCATCCCCTGTGACAATGTTTCCCACAGCTCGCAAAGCAGGAGAAACCACTTTATAATCATTATGCCTGAAAAAATAAAAAGTAATGTTATAACCAACAGTTCTATCCTTAATCTCATTTCCTTAGAACCAAAATTAAAAAAAAAAGAGAACGTGATAGAATTTTAGAGCAGAAAGATACCTATGGGGGTAATTAAGGAAACTCTTATCACATCCCCTAGAAGAACTGTCTTTCCCTTTATTTTAGCACATTTGGAAAAAACTACCAATCTTTCCTAGGAATCTTTCCCAGGTATTCCATCACCTGGATTCCAAGTTTTCCCTCTCATTCTTTAATTTAGGTTTCATTTCCTCTTTACTTGGTCTTGTATGGTTGCTGAGATAATGAAGAGCAATAGTTAATATTTACAAAACATTTTTTTTTTTTTTTTTTTTTTTTGAGACAGAGTTTCGCTCTTGTTACCCAGGCTGGAGTGCAATGGCGCGAGCTCGGCTCACCGCAACCTCCGCCTCCTGGGCTCAGGCAATTCTCCTGCCTCAGCCTCCTGAGTAGCTGGGATTACAGGCACGTGCCACCATGCCCAGCTAATTTTTTGTATCTTTAGTAGAGACGGGGTTTCACCCTGTTGACCGGGATGGTCTCGATCTCTCGACCTCGTGATCCACCCGCCTCAGCCTCCCAAAGTGCTGGGATTACAGGCTTGAGCCACCGCGCCCGGCTTACAAAACATTTTTAAGTTTTATAAATTGTCTTAATTTTCACAGAGGTAAAAACGACACATCAACAGCTGAACTAACTTGAAAATGCAAGTCAGGATTCACACTACAAATATAAAGCGTCCTTCAACTAAACCTACTAAGCTGCCTTACTGGTCGAAAACCCCTCCACAAAGCTATACATACATGCATACATATACATACACATACACACGTGCACGCGTACATGCACCAGTGAAGACAGATATTAAATCCTTATTTCTAACTAAATAAGTCAGTATCTTTTTAAGGGTCCTACTTTTCCCTCCCCTTTAATAAGGCTGATCACTCATATAAAAACTCTGCCAGTTCCTTCACATTTAAGATGTGATGATTAAAAAGAAATGGCTAAAATATGTAATAGTCTAATGGATAAAGAATACAAAGGATTACTTCCCAGATTTTGAATGATGTACTTCTGACTCCTGCAGCATCATACTGCCATTCATTCACATTAGCACTACAATACTGATCTGCATTCAGTCTGCAGCCAGCTATAATCCAGAGTTTTGTATTTTGTATTAATACATTATAACTATCTCATCTTTTCCAAATGTCATGTTTGAGAAAATGTCTCCTTGCATCTATTTTGTACTTTAATTAAATTTCCAGTTGCTTGTAATTGTACCATTTCTCCATTATGTTATCCCTTTTTTCTTCTGTAGTATCTAAAAATTTGATTAATACAGTCTCAAATTATTTATGTAACGAGTAAATCTTCCACTGCATTATCAAAAGCAGCACAAAGATGATAAACCAAAATAAGATTCAGTTTCTGATACCTGTCTTAAATAAGCTCTAAATGAGACAGACAGATAAGAAATGACTATTTTAGTGGCAGTATATCTTCTGATGTCCGGTGGTTGACCTCAGGTCATCCAGTATTAGACTGGAACTACACAGACCAGAGTTTTCCAAATGTTTCTGCTAAAGGCCTGCTAACAGCAGAGGAGCAAGAAGTTCTCAATAAAATAAGAAAAACAGATCTGACATCAACATAAACAAGTAACAAAAAACAGTAGCCCAAAGCACAATAAAACAATATAATATACAATTAATCAATATTTAAGTATTAGCAGCTAGAAAACTAGTACCAAGGGAAAAAAAGTGAACACACTTTCTAAAAGATATCTTACATCAGCAGCTCCACAAGTCTCCTACATACTCCCGCATCAATGACTGCTTGAATTTTATCATTGGGTCCATCTGATAGATATGAGAGGGCCCAGCAGGCATCAGCCAGTACATCAGTGTCACTGACAAACAGCAACCAGGAAAGCACGTTCAGACATGGGGAAACCTATAAAAGGAAAATGATGATTATGATATCCAATAGACTAAAAGCCAGAAGTGAGGTGAGATATTCAAGAAGGCAACCAGGGATAAATTTGGTGACTTCTAGGGTGATTTACACTTCTAAAGAAGTAGCAAGTACCTAAGTGGCAGTTCCATCTTTGACAATGCTGTCAGTGGTCTTGCACTAATTTGTAGTCAGAGCCCAAGAAAAATAATTTCAGGGCACAAAGTTTTATATACATCAATTCTTGGGAGTGAGACTCCTTGTCAAAACACATTCTTTGTGGACTAAAGAGGAAAAGGAACTTTCACAAATGTGAAAGCTAGGAAATTCTGTATTTTAGATACTTTAGACCAGGCGTCCCCAAACTTTTTACACAGGGGGCCAGTTCACTGTCCCTCAGACCGTTGGAGGGCCGCCACATACTGTGCGCCTCTCACTGACCACCAATGAAAGAGGTGCCCCTTCCTAAGTGCAGCGGGGGGGCCGGATAAATGGCCTCAGGGGGCCGCACGCGGCCCGCGGGCCGTAGTTTGGGGACGCCTGCTTTAGACCAAAAATGCTAGGGTTTTAAGATGAATTCAGTGAAAAATGATTCCAAATTAAAAACAACTACAAAAAAAATCCTGTTTCTTCTAATATCCAGAATATACAAGAAACTCACATCAGCAAGAAAAAAACAATCCATCAAAAAGTGGGCTAAGGACACAGACAATTCTCTGAAGAAGATATACAAATAGCCAAAAAACATTTAAAAATGCTCATCACTAATTATCAGGGAAATGAAATCAAAACCACAATGTAATATCATCTTACTCCTGCAAGAACGGCTATAATCAAAAAAATCAAAACAGGCGGGACATGGTGGCTCATCATGCCTGTAATCCCAGACTTCGGGAGGCTGAGGTGGGTGGATCACCTGAGGTCAGGAGTTCAAGACCAGGCTGGCCAACATGGTGAAACCCCATCTCTACTAAAAATATAAAAATTAGCCGGGCATGGTGGTGTGTGCCTATCATCCCAGCTACTCAGGAGGCTGAGGCAGGAGAATCACCTGATACTGGGAGGTGGAGGTTGTAGCGTGCTACACCACTGCACTCCAGCCTGGGCAACAAATGCAAAACCCTGTCTCAAAAAAACAAAAACACTATAGATGTTGGCATGGATGTGGTGAAAACGGAACACTTTTACACCACTGCTGGGAATGTAAATTAGTATAACCACTACGAAAAATAGTATAGAGATTCCTTTAAGAACTGAAAGTAGATCTGCCATTTGATCCAGCAATTCCACTGCTATAAACATGCGTGGATACTTGCACACGCATGTTTACAGCAGCACAATTCACAATTGCAAAATTATGGAACCAGCCCAAATGCCCATCAATCAACAAGTAGATAAAAAAATGTGATATATATACCATAGAATGCTACTCAGCCATAAACAGAAACAAAACAACGGCATTTGCAGCAACCTGGATGGAACTGGAGACCATTATTCTAAGTAAAATAACTCAGGAATGGAAAACCAAACATCGGATGTTCTCATTCGTAAGTGTGAGGTAAGCTATGAGGGCGCAAAAGCCTAAGATTGATACAATGGACTTTGGGGATTCTGGGGTAAAGGGTGAGAGGTGGGTGAGAAATAAAAGACTAGACAGTGGGTACTCTGTACACTCCTTGGGTGATGGGTGCACCAAAATCTCAAAAACCACCACTAAACAACTTATTCGTGTACCTAAACACCTGACCCGTTCCCCTAAAACCTACTGGAAGAAAAAAAAAAAAAGAATCTGCGAAATCCCAGAGTACTCCCAGACCATACTTTGAGAACCACTGTTTTAGAAGAACTGAAAGGAGTCTCTTAATACAGTATAGTATACTAATTGTATGAAGTCTAATTTCAATAAGCTTTACAAATTCTCCCTTCATGCTATGCTTTTATTTATTTGCAGCCCCTTCGTAAATGTACATCTTCAAGCTATGCTTTAAATTTGCTTTTCAAATAATGAAGGGAACCAAAAAAAAAAAAAAAAAACCCAAAAACCCTGTTTCTCCAAAAACAGATAAAATTCTAACATTTTAAATTTTAACAAAAATTATCTTTCTGTTCACCTTACTATTGGCTGCTATACTCGTAATTGCATTTTTTCTGCCAATGTCCCAAAAGCACAGTCCTTACCTTTGCAAATTCTGGAGGTGGACTTTTCCCTCTACAGAGGTTAGACAAAGCCCATACTGCATTCCGGGTCATGGTCAGGCGGTTTTGCTTTGAAAATAACCTACAAGCATGATGGTGAAATGGTAAACTATATAATAGATATTGATTCTCTGAAAACATAACATAAATACTAAATAATAGTACTTTTGATAAAGAGATGTCTTCAGATAGCTTTTCCCCAGAACATTAAAACTTCATTAATTCTGATACAAGTAATTCAGAATTTTGACTTGAGAAAAAGATAGGGTGCTTAAGGAAATGATCTCTATTTTTCCTCCTTTTTCCTTTTTTCTGAGGAAATGATCTAAACAAGAAAATGGAATGAAAAATAACAGAAAATCCAAAATTATTTCCAAAGACGTATTGCTTTCTGAGGAATCTCTTATGTTTTTATTCTCAAAAAGAAAAAAAGGAAAAAGAAGAAACTTACTGCAAAAGAGGAGGAAGGATATTGCAGTCTAAGACATAGTCTCTGCACATGGTACTATCTCCAGCAATGTTGCCAAGAGCCCAGACTGCCTGTGAAAGAATAATTAATAAAAGTTATGTAATTTAACTCCCTCATAATTCTTTCAGATGTCAGTATATCACAATAACACATTCATCAGGGAGTCAAATGAAACAGTTGTGTGACTGAAGGAAGAAGATAAATAATATTCTAAAGTGTACAATAAACTGAAGGTATTCAGTTTATTAAAGGAAAGAACCAATTTCTTTTTTTTTTTTTTTTTTTTTTTTGTGACGGAGTCTCGCTCTGTCACCCAGTCTGGAATGCAACATGGTGAAACCCCATCTTTACTAAAAATACAAAATTAGCCAGGTGTGGTGGCAGGCGCCTGTAATCCCAGCTACTCAAGAGGCTGAGGCACGAGAATTGCTTAAACCTGAGAGGCAGAAGTTGCAGTGAGCCAAGATCGCGCCACTGCACTCCAGCCTGGGTGACAGAGACTCTATTTTTTTAAAAAAAGGTATTTTTCTGGCTTATAAAAGAAAACAGTGAAACCAACTATTTTCTGCACAAAAGTGACAAAAACTCACTACTTTCTTTTGAGCTAGGTCTCCCTCTGTTGCCGAGGCTGTAGTGCGATGCTGTGATCTTAGCTCACTGCAGCCTCTGCCTCCTGGAGCTCATTCAAGTGAACTTCCCACCTCAGTCTCCCAAGTAACTAGGACCACAGGTGTGCACCACCATGCCCACCAATTTTTTTTATTTTCTGTGGAGATGAGGTTTCGTCATTTTGCCTGGTCATTGGCTGGTCTTGAGCTCCTGGGCTCAAGCAATCTGCCCACCTCAGCCTCCCAAGTGCTGGAATTACAGGTGTGCGCCACAGTGTCTGGCCTACTTTCAACACTGGAAATTTCTACAAGAAAAAACCTTTACCAGTAACTGCTTACAAGGTCTAGAAAAGTACATATACAGGGCTTAAAGAATGTCAGGTTTGGAAGGGGAGATTATTTTATGTGTTTAAGAGAAATTCTGCCTACAGTCACTAAGAAATTTTCTATTTGGTTAAGACTAGATTTCTAGAACACTCCTTTGTGACAATCCATAGATTAACAAAGCCAACTGGTAAAACTCAGTCCCTGAATATGATTGAAGGGAAAAATGTTATTCTTTCACCTGCTTCTTTCTGTTTCATTTTTACCTGTTCCTGGACATCTTCAAACTCTGAGCTGAGCAACTCTATGAAGATTGGCACAGCTCCTGCCTGAATCACAATCCGGGTCTGAAGAGAATTTCCTGAAGCAATATTTGTCAGTACCCAAGCTGATTCAAACTACAAAGATAAAAATAATTTTCATTATCTTCTTAGAATGTAAAAGCTTTTTTACTTATAACAGTAACACTTTCTGAATATGAAAAAGAGATTCTGAGATCATTATATACATATAACCTATCAGTTGAGTACTATATTAATTTTAAAAGAATTTCCAGAAGAAACACCTTAACCTAGAAGAATATTCAGGGTGTCTAAAATTTCAGTTCAAGATAAGAGTGGACATGACACCATAAAAAGAATGACAGAGTGTTACAAATGCTGATATGGAATGATCACCAAAGATATAAATTGAAAACAAAATGCAGTGTACATGCATTCCTTTTTAACACTTTTAGAAAATATGGTATAATGTCGTATTAATGTACACTGTTTGCATTCTGTAGAAAGGGCAAAGTAAAATGGGGAGAAAATGTTAGTGTAAAACATAAAATACAGGCTCGGTGAAAAAAGCAAAAGGTATCAAATGTTAAGCAGGTCAAAGGAGTTAACAAACATATAATGAAAAGAAATGACAACTGCAAAGCAAAAGAGCTTCCCATAAATGAGAGAGTTCTAAACCAAAGTACAGAGATAGGACTTTTTTAAAAGAGCATTCTTAACAGGGAGGGAAAAACGAAGGTAAATTGACCAAAGGTTGATATGTAGCATTACAGCACTGGTAAACAGAAGACATAAAGGAAATTATGACCAACAAAAAATAGAGCATACTACTAAAATATATCTCTAACACTAAATTGACTGGTTAGACTAATATTCAGAAATCCGAGAATGAACTCTTCTCTATTTAGTTAAGTGTTCTTAATTATATTTCAGGTTGTTTCTTCCTCCTTTCTGTCTTCTACTTAATACAGCACATACACAGAAAAAAAAAAAAAAAAAATCCATGGTATGCCCTTTAAATCAGAAATAATAACAAGTCATCATTAAATGACCTGTGATTCTTCTAAGCTTCCAGATTAACTAAAAGGCAGCTGTCAGGTGTCAATCTACATTCATAATCTTTGGGAATAGAGGAAGACAGACGAAATGGGCAATCTGATCAAATCACGTTCAAAGATATATAAATGATAGAAAATTCACAGCAGAAGAAACATAATAAATGGATATTCCAAAGAAAACCATAAAAGTGACATACATGAGTGAGGAAGGGTAGTTTAGTAGTAGCAGGGAGGCCCAGACGAGGAGCACTTCTGTTAAAGAGCCCGCATCTGGTCGCTTTTTGTTATGACAAAAATTCTGATTTTCAGATTAAACCCCAAATATCATGAAATAAAAACTCTTCACATATTCATCTCTATAATTAAATTATAATGAAAGCAACACTCAGACTGTTTCAGTATGCCTAAATTACAACTTGACATTTGTACCATACTTTATATACTCCAGGCACTATTCACATACTCGCAGATGATCCCTACAACAACCCAGAGATGTAAGGTATCTGGCTTTTCTCATGTACAAATGAGGAAGCTATCCGAAAAAAATCCAACAATTTAACTAATGATTCAAGTAATGTTACACAGGCAAGGAGAAGGGATAAGTTCCAGCCTCCCAATTTAAAACAGTATGAAGCCCAGTCATAGTTTCCTCTCTGATACGTAATGCTGGCACAGAAATATTTCAATTGCTTGTAGTTTGGATATATAGTGCAAGAAATTTTAAATAACCGTATGCCAGATTATTTATATTAAAAAACAAAAAACAAGTTCACCTATAATGTAGTTTTCTTTTGACGAATAGGAAAATTAATTTGTAAACCAGAGTCATATGATGTAAGTATAAAAGCAAACTGTCCCACCACAAGGCAGGCTCAAAGTTGAATAAACAGTCAACAGATACTGCAAACATCAAGTCAAAGAAATGAAAACTGTGAGGAAAAGAAACCTGGAAAAAAATAAGATCAGCATACATACCATCTATAACAAAGAAAAAGAGGATTACAGTGAGATTTTGATGCAAAAGAAATTATAATAACCTGGGTACACAGGGATATAGTACAGAGTTATTGATGAGAAAAAATTACTTAGAATACTAATTGGTGCCAGCGTTCAAACTGCTATTTTGAGTTTAGCACCAAAGGTCTCAGGGGAAATGAAGAATTCCAGAAGCTACGCAAATTAATAAAATAGAGAAGCAAAACAATTTGAATGACAATGACTAAGAAAATGAAAAAATAAGTGAATAGCCTGAATACAGATGGTAAAAAAAAAAAAAAAAGAGAGAGAGAAATTAGTACATCTTAAAAGAATAACATGCCAGTTTATGTTCATCACATAACTAAGTAGTACACAATGATAACCTCTGAATGCAAAGATGATTCAGGAATGAAAATCAAAAACAGTTTTGCTATTACTGGGGACAGAAATAGATGAATAACTGTAACCAGAAGGCCACTGAAAATATTCATGCATTAATAAGGCAATAAAAACACATACACAGGGTGCTGATTACTGTGCTGTTTTTATTTTGTGAAAGCTAATCAAGCTGTATTTGTGAAATTTTCTACACCCATCTATACATCTATACATGTATGATATCCATGTATGTTTATGCATGTATCCATGTATGTATGAGAGGGGGGAGTAAAAAACAGAATTTCCCTGAATATAGGCCTCTGTTAATGTCAGAAGAAGTAACTGTTAAACATTAAGTATATGTTTTTTTTAAATTAGATGTTCTTTACATAACTTCTCTTTCATCATAGTCTGTACTTTAACGCTGTATTCCAACAAAATTTCCCGTCTATTTTTGTTTCCGTTTTTTTTTTTTTTTTTTTTTTTTTTTTCTAAATGTTTCAGCCTTGGGTGCTAGATTAGAATTTAACATGTAATAGTTGTGAAATGGGAAAGCCTACAATAGATGGCAAACACATATGCATAAAGTTATGATAGAAACAGCCAAAAAAAATCAAAGTAAGCAACCCTGTTATTCACGAGGAAATCAGTAACCTGAAAAAAAAAATCTAAGAAATGGTATTGCCTGAAGTAACAAATGGTGACCAAATAAAATCTTCACTTCCTTTTCATTGTTTTAAACTATTATATTCTTAATATCCAAGAATGGCATCATACAAGGAAACAAGCTAACATGCAGCTGTAACTACTTATAAATTGTTAACTCCACTCATTATTTTTCACTGTCCTGAACTCACTAAATAAGGCTAACAACTGAAATCTAGACACTGAAGGTTTGATGTTTTCTCTCTTCCCTTTCTTAGTCTCTACCTTCTGGTGCTCAGTTCCTTAAATAAGGAAAATGAGAATCCAAAGCTGAAGTACTTCTGACCTCCTATCAAGTTTCCCACTCCAGGTTGAGGTACGCCTGGTTCCCTTTCTCCATTTGGATCAGGACTCTGTTGCTGGCCACTTTGCCGGTTCCACTCTGGTTCCTAGCAAATGCCAGGCTCACCTGGAGAGCAAGTGAAAAGAAAGGCTCACATCAGAAAAATAAACCCAGACAGCAAACTCTGCAGAGAACAGTGCCTGAGTCATCTGAGCAACTTTCCAGGAAAGGCAGAGAGATCAATGAAGATGGGAAAAGACACAGGAAGATGAAGGCTTACTGCAGTTTATCACATTAAGCTCTTAAGAGGGGACAAGAAAGTCAGGAAAGGGGAAACTAAGCCAATTTAATTCAAATTTACAACTTTCAAGAACTATCTGTCTCATATCTGGAAATAGAAAGCAATATATTTATTTCCAGCTATTTTTATAAGCTTCTGTAAGAAAGTTGGGGAATGCCACATCTCAGCACTGCAAAGGACAGTACAAAGACATGGCCTGTATTCAAAGAACTAACAAAGTAGGCTCATGGACCATGCCATAAACCAGACCAGTCTCATGACAAGGGCTCAAGTCTATCTGAGACCTAGATGTCACTGAGCTTGAGAATGCTCTTAGTTAAAAAGGCATTGTTTCCTTCCAAAATCCTAGATTCCACCCATGTTCACCTTCAGTACGTGGGTAGCAATGCTCAAAGCAGGCACTTTTATCTCCCTAGTCTGAGGTACATTACTAACTTGGGAAGCCAGAAAGAACATAATAAGACCCTTCACTAGGATTCAAAGTTCTTTATCTATGGAATGAAGAAATTAAGTTTGTCCACATTTATTAGTTAGCTGAGCCATCAAATTTCCTCTTGGCACCACATAGTATGGCTCTCCTTCTGGAAGAGAAATGACAAAAGCCCTATTGCAAAGGTGCACTATTCAAGTTCTAGTAAGCAGGTAAGAGAGTATTAGGGATAGCTTATATCTGAGTGCTCTCCAAGAAGACAGAGGATGCGTAACCTCCACGCTTCCCAGAGCATATCTAATTATTTGAAAACATGGCAGAGCATCAAGTCTCCTGGCTTTAAGGTCTCTCTCAATATACCTGCCCCTCGTGCTTCTAAGGTCGTCAAAAGTACCCATTAGTCACAGTGGAGAGAGAACACCATGCTGTCCTTAAATGTGCACATAAAAAAGCTAGAGATGACCCTTAGATAACAAACAGGTTGGTTATTTCTCAGAGTCTTAGGACAGCTAAGACCATCCTCAGAAAATCACGAGGTGATCACTTCCAGAGGAATCATTTTGAAATATTTCAGCCTGATTATTAGTTTGCACAGGGTGGAATATGGGAATTTAAGTAGAAGCAAATTAGAGATTTCTGAAGGCTTTCATCTTCAGATGTATTAAAACACAAGTTCCAGGATTACAGAGTAATGAATTTAAAAATGATGTAGAATGTGTTAGCCAGAAGAGGGCACTGTCTGAGAATGTACTGTACTTTTTAGGGAGTACAAGGGAATGAATGCAGAGATGGGGAAAGATCCCATTTCTCTGACTTTTTCATTTTAGGTCTGAAAGGTTATACCATCTATCTTTAATGCATGAAGGAACTAGACTTCTACAACCACCTAATAAAAACTGCCAGATCAAGGAGTAAATTCAGTATCTCTCATCTACTCTCATTCCCAGAGACAGGATAGATACACTTTTTTCAGCATGAACAAAATAATTTTCCCTACCTCCCTCTTCCTACAAAGCATTTCAAATGATAAACTGCAGTAAGGCTCCTCATTTGGTCCCTCTGGTTCTCGGCAAGTTGCTTAGGGGATCAGGCTCTGTTCTCTGCAGTGTTGGTTGTCTGGATTTCCTTTTTTTCTGAGAAAAGTCTCTCTCTCTTCCCTTGCTCTCAGGGTGAACGTGATTATTTTTCAGGTGTCTGATGATCCTGGCCTTAAATGGGGACCAGAATTACAATCCAGGAGGCAGATAGCAAAACAGAATCTTAATTCAAATGAGCATGGGGACTGGTAAATGTCAAACTGGAGAAGAAAAACTGATGGGACATTGAAGTACTCTACCTTTTCTGGATTTCTTGCTTTTCCTCTGGAAGGAACTCATCAACGCAACAGAGTGTAAAACAAAGAGAAAGAAAGGATAGGAGGAAAGAAGAGAAAACATCAAGGCAAATCAAGTTTTATGAATAATCTGTAATGGTGTGGACAGTAAGGAACCTGGGGACAGGAGCTATCATTTACAAAAATGCCCCAGTGCCTACATGGCTCCAGCCTCACAGTAAAGAACAGCACACAACGGGCAGGGGGTATCTTTACGATTAACTAGCTTTTGGCAAATATTTACTTGGAAAAATAATCACATTTTGTGATCAACTTGGCCACAGTCTCAGGGCCCAAGTCTTTGAGATTAGATCCTACAGGTGAGAATTTAGGGATCACAGGTTATTTGTTACTAATACAGGCACTGACTCAGTTGGTTACTCCAGGGAAGTCTACTAAAAAAAAAAAAAAAAAAAATCACCAGTTTACTAAAAACCCAACTTTATCCAGGAAAAAAAATATTTTAGAATTTCTAGATAACTTCCAGGATGAGAGTCAGCTGACTGTTGGTTCCTTTTCTTGTGAAAATTACTGAATCCTTGGCCAGGCGAAGTGGCTCACGCCTTTAATCCCAGTACTTTGGGAGGTCGAGGGAAGTAGATTACTTGAGGTCAGGAGTTGACACAGCAATAAGCACAGATTCCTGTCAATGTTATTTCCGTAACAGCTTTTTGTGGGGTGGAGGAAGAATTAATTAGGAACAGATTTGGGAATTAGTGAGACTCTGACATAGCCCATGTTACACCATCCTGAGAAAGCCACAAAGTATCATCTAAAATTCCCTCAAAATCAAATTTTATGTAGCTCACACATAAATTCCTAGCTGTAATGGCTCCTCTGCTGTAAACATTTCCCTAATAGGTAAGTATTATCCACAATCATAAAAATTTTAAATGATTAAAAATGACAAGAATTATAAGAGTATAATAAAGGCCTACATGTTAACAAAGCTATAAAAGCAGCTTGCAATGTAGTTGTCAGGAATATCATTATAAACAAACTTAATTCTTCATACAGATAAAAATTAGTAACAAATTTGTATACAAAATAAAAGTTTTCAAAGGGAATTAAGTTATGAGACAATTAAATATAAATTATTCGCACCTGCAATGTACAGTTCTCTTTTCGTTTGAGGAACTCCACAAACCTGGCCACTACTCCTGGTGTGCTGATAACTTCATCAATAGGAGGGTTAGGTTCTGTTTCCCCATAAAACAAAAGAAAAAAAAAAAATATATTTTGATTTCAATGCAAGAATTTGACAGCTCAAAACTTTTTAATGTCCCTCCCTCCATATATCATCTCTCATGTTGGAAATCAACCCAAAACAAACAAAATGTCAAACTGGGTTTATCATTTTTAGGATAGGGTAGTCTGAAAGTTTTCAAAATGAAGACATGCCTCAATATGAGAATAATTGTTAAAAATTAAAATTACTGCCCCTTCACTATTTTAGAAAACCTAGAAGGCAGGGGACCAAAAAAAACCCTCAAAAGACCACTGTCAGTATTCTGGTATACTTCCCTCTAGCCTGTTTTCTGTACACGAGTTTTAAGTCTAACTGCTTTTGTCTCTTGTAAATTGTCTCAAGTAACTGCATTATGAGATTCTCAGTATGCCTGCAGAATTTAATTTTGTACCTGTAGGAGCTAACAAGAATTCACTAAGATTGACTTGCCAACTTAATCTCACTTTCATTCATGGTAATACCATATCCTATCAATGAAGTCACTCAACAAAAACTTAAAAGGTAAATAAGAAGGAAATGTCACAATCAGATTAATAACTTCAGTCAGAGACTGACAAAGTTACTGACAATATACATGTGGCAATGCTAGAAAAATGGCAATTATATTACAATACTATTAGGGAGATTCTTACCCAAGTAAATGGCCTTACTGAAAGAGGTGACTAAGGGTTCAATGTTAATTTGGAGAGGACTCTAAAGACATGTCATTTACCTGGTTCAACATTTCTATTAACCACTCAGGTAAACAAAAAAAAAAACAAATTTGATGATTACAATAAACTAATGTTAATAACTAATATTATTCTGAGTTACAGAAATAACACAGAAAAAGAACAACAGTTAAGTCAAAATAAGCAAAAAAAAAAAACAGAAAGCAAAATTCAGCATCTGAATTTTTTAAAATCTATATTACTTCACAAAACCTAACAACAGTTCATGAAGAAAAGCAATAGAGAGCTCAGTTTGCTGAAAATTCAATAAAAATTACTATGTCATAACTACCAAAATAACTATCTTAGACTACATTATCAAAATAGACACTTTTAGGGCAAAGAATGTAACTTCTCACCATACCCTACATTAATAACACATCTGGAATATTGTATTCTAGCTATCATATCTTTAAGAGGGATGCTGACAAACTAGAATACATGAGGAAAGTAGTAGAATGGTGAAAGACCTTAAAAAATAAAAAGCACATTACAGAAGAAAACCATTAGGCTTGGCATGTTGGAAGAGATTAAGACTTTTTTAAGGGGTGAGGAGGTATACATTTGCTTCAAATATTTAATAAGCAGTTTGCAAAAAACAATTTTTTTGTCATAATGGTAGTTTTTTATTCCACTTAACCTCAAGGGATATATTAACTTTTTTTTTTTTTTTTGAGACAGAGTTTCTCTCCTGTTGCCCAGGCTGAAGTACTTTAGTGCAATCTTAGCTCACTGCAACCTCCACCTCCCAGGTTCAAGTGATTCTCCTGCCTCAGTCTCCTGCATAGCTGAGATTACAGGCACACACCACCACACCTGGCTAATTTTTTGCATTTTTAGTAGAGACAAGGTTTCACCGTGTTGGCCAGGCTGGTCTCAAACTCCTGATCTCAGATTATCTGTCCACCTCAGCCTCCCAAAGTGCTGAGATTACAGCCATGAGCCACTGTGCCTGGGCACTGAATTTTGTTTAAATCATTAATAACTCTAAACGATCATAACTTAATACTGGGGGGTTTAAGAATTTACTAGCAACATTTTAATAGGGTTCAGAATTCTTTTTACTTGCCCAGGCCCATAACAAACATCAGATTCCATTCTACACTAATTATATCAAAAAAGGTAATTACCAGCCGGGCAGGGGGGTTCGTGCCTGTAATTCAGCACTTTAGAAGGCTGAGGTAGGCAGATCACAAGTTCAGGCAATCAAGACCATCCTAGCCAACATGGTGAAACCCCGTATCTACCAGAAATACAAAAATTAGCTGGGTGTGGTGGCGCATGCCTGTAATCCCAGCTACTCAGAAGGCTGAGGCAGGAGAATCACTTGAACCAGGGGAGGCTGCAGTGGGCTGAGATCATGTCACTGCACTCCAGCCTGGCGACAGAGCAAGACTCCATCTCAGAAAAATAAAAAATAAAAAAAAGGTAATTACCCTACCCACCAGTAAATCCAATCCATTCTTAACTTTCAGGGGTAAATTGCTAACATTAAAATCAATAATCATTGCTCTTTCAAGGAATATTTTTAAAGTTATTCTATTAAAAAAAAAGTCTATCTCTAAATTTGAATTAACATGAGATACTGACTACTATTCAATATAAGGTCTTTTATAAAATAACCCAAAAATGAAAATAATTCTCCCTTCTAATCCTGGTAAGATCCCACAAATAAATAGCAAACTTAAAATTTAGGCATGGTTCATAATTACACCTATGTCTGCATTTTTATTCTTTTATTGACATACTCTAAATTATCTGTGGTATGAAAAATAGATTATAGAAAAGTAATTTTGTAGAGAGATGAAAAATAATACTCATCACATTCATAGCTCACCTTTTGAAAGCAGTTTCCTGAATTTCTGTGTTGCTGAAAGCTGTTGCTCTGGGCTTTTGGAAAATATCATTTCAATCATGTCAGAAGTGATGACACCACCCTGGGATCACAAACAAAAAGAACATATAATAAAACATTAAACCTTAACTCAAAGGAAACAAAGATAACAGATATCATGGTCAAGTTATTAAGTTAATCACACTTCTCCAGAGTTACATAAAAGTGGAACAATCTTTACATATAGAAATGTGTAAGATTATAACATAATGAAGCCAAATTCTTTGTCTATCACTAAGAAGCTCACAATAATGAGAAAGTAATCTTACTAGTAAATAGTAAGACAAGGAGCTTATTGTTCTTCCTCTCCTTACTCATCACAGAGCTGGCTATTCTTTGTTATCCAAAGTAAATGTTAGGTTTTAAAAGCCGGATTTCATGACCCTCCAAGCCTAAAGGAGCCACTCTAACTCTCACCACATAGCCCTATTTTAATCACATACCCAGCCCTATTACACTCCCACATATTTTTCTGTGTTCCTCCAGTATACTGTAATCTCCTTGAAAGCCAAAGACCTTGTCTGTCTTACCATTCTATCACTAAAGGCTGGTGTACAGTAAATGCTCTGCAATATTTATTGAATGAGTATAGAGTGGCCCTGTATAAATCTAGCCACTGCCAAATTCGACAGTTGACTCTTAAACTTATTTAAAATTTCTTTCTTGTTTTATTAAAACTTTCCAGTTTCCCACTACTTTCTTGCTTTATTAGAATGTTTCCGTTTTCCACCATAACTCAAGCTAAGTATTAGCAGTTAATTTTCTTCTCAGGATCATTTGTCACAAAGAAACAAAGTTCTTATCTCATAAAGGGTAACAGTCAACAAGATGAGTTGTGAAGAAAGCTGCATTGAGATTTAAATGCCAGATGACTGATAAGCAATACCTAGCACCTAAGTTTTCTCATAGAGAAATATATGAAGCATTCTACTCAAGAATCAGAAAAGCAAAATTTTCAAAATTCCAAGACTGATTTTTAAATAAAGGTTTCTATGATTTGTTATATGTTTGCGTAAACACATTCATTCATACACACACACACACACACACTAAGCAAATTATCTTTTTCTTCACTCTCTTATCCTCGTATAACAAGCTGTACTGACTTTACATCTTACTATTTAAGTACTGTTACTATACATTATAATATTTAAGTCATAGGCTATCAAGGAAAGGAGTGAACATCACCCAAGGATTTTGCATCCTCTCCTGTAGAAAGAGTTAGTACAGATGTGCCTCAACTTACAGTGAATGGGGTTATGACCCACTAAACCCATCTTAAGTTGAAAACACCATAAGTTAAAAATACACTTAACACACCTAACCTACAAAACTTCATCGTCCAGCCCCCAAACTGTTTTTTTTTTTTTTTTTTTTGAGACGGAGTCTCGCTCTTGTCATCCAGGCTGGAGTACAATGGTGCAATCTCGACTCACCACAACCTCCACCTCTTGGGTTTTCAAGCAATTCTCCCTCAGCTTCCCAAGTATCTGAGATTACAGGCATGTGCCACCAAGCCCAGCTAATTTTGTATTTTTAGTAGAGATGGGGTTTCTCCATGTTGGTCAGGCTGGTCTTGAACTCCCAACCTTGCCTCCCAAACTGCTGAGATTACAGGAGTCAGCCACTGTGCCTGGCTGTGTAGCCTACCTTAAAGGTGCTCAGAACACAAACATTAGCCTACAGTTGAGCAAATGATCTAACACAAAGCCTATTTTATAATAAAAGGTTGACTATATCATGTAATTTACTGAATACTGTACCGAAAATGAGAAACAGAATGACTGTATGGGTATTCAAAGTACTGTTTCTAATGAATGCATACTGCCTTCACACCACTGTAAAAAGCTGAAAACTCCTGACCTGAACCCTCCTAAGAACGATCTATACATTTTTTTGTTGCACAAAAGAAAGTTATAATCTTAGATGGAGGTGCAGCTTTGTTGTTACCTTTATTTGCAACAAAGTATATGCTGTAAGGAGATGTGTGGATATCAACCGGCAAGGACAGTTAATTTTATGTGTCAACTTGACTGAATTATGGCATCCTTGTATCCAGGTATCTGATCAAACACCAGTCTAGATGTTGCTGTGAGGGTTATTTTTTAGATCTGATTAAAATTTAAATCAGTATGCCTGACATAAATAGAATGTCCCATAACGCAGGCTGGCCTCATCCAATCAGCTGCAAGCCATGAGAGCAAAGACTAGGTTTCCTGAAAAGGGATTCAGCAACATCAACTCTTAACCTGAATTTACAGTGGGCCAGTGTGCCCCACAGATTTCAGACTTGCCAGCTCCCAAAGACATGAGTCACATTCTCAAATTGAGTTTCTTTCTCTCATTGGTTTTGTTACTCTGGAGAACCCTAATACAATACATAAAATACTCTGTATTCACTTAACAATCCCTTTTTCAAAAAATTGGAAAGTCTGGCTTTCTGAAGGGCTTAGATGCTTTCATCACAAAATGATGGCATTGGCTATGTCTGTATCGATTCCAAAGGAAATAATACTACCCTCCCAACTCTCAAAGAAAGCTGTTGATATAAACTGGAGATCTAGGAAGTGAAATAAAGAAAAAGCTACAAAATATTATGCCACCATTTACCAAAAAAAGGTGGGGAAGAAGAGAACATTTATTTTAATATACAAAAGTTCTCAGAAAGAATAAAATAAGAATTAATAATACTAGTTGCCAATGAAGAAAAATACTGGGTGGCTAAGCAGAAGAAAGATTTTTCTTCATCTTTTTTTAATTGTACTTCTTTGTTACTAAAAACAATAGTACCTTTACCTTTTAGGAGATAATTTTCTTTTCTTTTTTTTTTTTTTTGAGATGGAGTTTCGCTCTTGTTACCCAGGCTGGAGTGCAATGGCGCGATCTCGGCTCACCACAACCTCCGCCTCCTGGGTTCAGGCAATTCTCCTGCCTCAGCCTCCTGAGTAGCTGGGATTACAGGCACACGCCACCATGCCCAGCTAACTTTGTATTTTTAGTAGAGACGGGGTTTCACTATGACGACCAGGATGGTCTCGATCTCTTGACCTCGTGATCCACCCGCCTCGGCCTCCCAAAGTGCTGGGATTACAGGCTTGAGCCACCGCGCCCGGCCAGGATAATTTTCTTTTTTAAAAAACTGTGCATGTGTGTGTATACACACATATGACCTATTTTTAAAATTACTCTAGAAATCTAGATAGGTCTAATCCATACATATAAAACCTGACTTTTACATCTTCACATAACTTCAAGTAACAAAATGGTTTACAACAGAAAATTCCAACAGTTCTAATGTGGAATTAAGTTTCTAAATCATATAAACAGGTCAATTTCATAAATAAATGAAAAATTATTATTTTCTGTAAAGTATCTCTCATGGCTGGGTGTGATGGCTCAAGTCTGTAATTCCAGCACTTTGGGAGTCCAAGGCAAGAAGGATCACTTGAGGCCAGGAGTTCACCTGGACAACATAGTGAAATCCCATCTCCACAAAAAATTAACAAATTTGCCAGTCACAGTGGCACATGCCTGTAGTCCCAGCTACTTTGGAGGCTAAGGCAGGAAGATCACTTGAGCCCAGGAGTTCAAGGTTGCAGTGACCTATTATCACAGTAGTGCACTCCAACCTGGGCAACAGAGCAAGACCTTGTCTCTAAAAAATAAATAAGTAAATAAAATAAATGAAGTATCTATTATTATTATTCAACTTTTAAAGAATAATTTTATTTTATAATTAGCTTTGTAAGTTTTTATAGCAGAATTAATCTAATTTTAATTGCACATTATTAAAAATATAATACACTTAATGAACCATGAGATTAAGTATATTCTTTTTAAAAATGAAATGCCAAGTACTTTTTGTAGCCATCTAACCTTTTTTTTAAAACTCAAAAGGAGATCTACATCTCATATCTTCATCACAAAAACACTAAAAAGAGTTCATTATCTCACTTACTGGTGCCATCTCCATGTTATTGATCTGGGCCTCATGAAAGCCTCCATCTGACATAACTTCTTCTTCTGTTTCTTCTTCTGCTGTAGCAACATTTCTCCGCTTGAATAACTGAAATATAAAAGGTTGGTAGTAATGTAAATGTATATTCTAACACAAGGAAGTTCAACATTCAAATACTAGGCACCACATTATAAGTGGAGCCTTTGAAAATCATTCTTAAAATTCTAAAGCCATCAGCCTTTACTGATGAGTAACTACTTCTGATTTCCCCATAGTCTTATAATGAAATACAATTAGCTATCACAATATGCTATGAACAACACTTGATAAGGTAAAACTTACTAGGAGAGGCCTGATACTCCATAACATTTAAAAAAAAAAAAAAAAAAAAAAAAAGGTTGGAAAAAGCAGCGAGGTCATGCTTGGTCATTTTCCCCATCCCTTTATCTAAAGTATATATCAGGATAGTCCTAACAATGTATAAGGGAAAATGAAAATAAAAACTGTGTTCAAATGACTTAATACTTCCCTCCTAATCCCCAAAGATGGTAGACTGAGACTTCTGACCTTCCCAACCTATCCAGCAGCAACCAGTGGCAACAAATGATGTCTGCTTAAGTACTACCTTTAATGCAGCCCCATTAATTTGTATAGGCAAAGGAGACTAGTTCTCTCCAAAGTTAGCCAACTAAGGTGATTTCCATTATATCCTTATGAGTCCTGGGCAGCACATTTATTCATCAAGCCATGATGGAGTAACAGTAACTTACCGTCTCACCCTAAACAACTAAAAGCAGACAAAATACATAAAATGTTTCAGCCACTGGACAACAAAAAGCACAAAGCAGTGATCCCTTAGAAAGAAAAACCTTTTAAGATAAGACCCATTACTGCCTCAGATTACTACGCAGACAGTTCCAGGCAGTACTGCAGGCAAGGTAAACCTAAACAGAGTTTAGATGCTCCTTGAATCTGAGAAAACACAGTTCAGACCTGAGAAGGCGAAGAGACCTAAAATTCACAAGGCAGAGTACAACAAAGAGAGAACATGCAAGATCTGCAGAAGGTTCCTTCTGAGATTTAACTTAATGGTAATCAGCATATAATCATATTCTTCCAGAAGACAGAAGCAGAGATAGTACTTCCCAACTCATTCTAGAAAGGCCAGCATTACTCTAATAAGAAAACCAGCAGTTTATTTTACCCAGTACATGTCCAGCTATCAAGAAAAAATTACAAGGCATACTAAAAGATTAAAAAACACAGTTTGAAGCGACAAAGCAAGTATCAGAACCAGATTCAACTATGGCAGGGATGCTGGGATTATCAGACCAAGAATTTAAAACTATGATTAATATGCTAAGGGCTTTAAATGGATAAAGTGGACAGCATACAAGAACAGACAGGCAATGTAAGGAGACAGATGGAAATTCTAAGAAAGAACTTAAAAGAAATGCAACAGATCAAAAACAACAGAAATGAAGAATGCCTTTGATGGATTATTAGTAACAAGACACAGCTACGGAAATAATTTCTGGGCTTAAGGAAATCTCATTAGAAATCTTTAAAACCGAAAAGAAAACAGAAAAAGGACTGACAAAAACAGAACAGAGTATCTACAAACTGAGACAACTACAAATGGTATAACAAACATGGAATGGAAATATCAAGAGGAAAGAACAAAAGAAATATTTGACACAATAATGACTGAGAATCTCCCCCAAATTAGTATCAGACACCAAACTGTGGCAGGCCACGTCTCACTAACACAGGGCTCCATGACAACTGTTTCAGTACTGAGTGGTTAAGTTAAATACTAAAAGCTAAAAAAAGCAGTGCGCTTACACAAAGGCTAGAATGCAACAAAAGCCCGCCAAGAGTTTTGCCTAGGCCCTACCTGGGCTTTAAAGAATAACAAAGAAACTCCCCAGGCTTCCACAAACAAGTTTAATGGAGGTCTGAAAGAACTCCCCAAACATCCATGAGTAAGAGACAAGATAAGGGGAATCACCCCAGCACCTGCATTAAGTAAATTTACTGAGACTCCAGAGCAAAGTCTTTTAAGACTCAGACCTTAGCTACAGATTAAAAGAAGTTAATCACTTATGCCTTTAGATGTATACACACATACACATAGACATATAGCTTAAAAGGTATATAATATCTGGAAAACTTTGTAATTTTGAGTTGGTCTGGCTGTAATTTCTAGGCCTTCTCCCTGTAACCGGTTACAGAAATAAAAACTCTTCCCCAGTTCATCTGCATCTTGTTATTGGGCTATGAGAAATAGCAGCCCGACCCTCAGTTTGGTCTGGGAACAAAACCACAGGAAGCCCAGAGATCATCAAGCTGGAAAAAGGCCAAAAAAAAAAAAAAAAAACCCCCACTACACCTAGGGATATCATTTTCAAACAACAGAAAATCAGAAATAAAGGAAAAACAATCCTAAAAATCTAAAAAACACTATACTTACACATAAACATAAGAATGATATTGAACTTCTCCTTAGAAACTATACATGCCAGAAGAAGGTGAAGTAAAATCTTTAAAGTGTTGAGAGAGAAAACCACCAACCTAGAACTCTGAACCCCACAAAATCATCTTTTAAAAGTGCAGAGATGAAATAAAGACTTTTTTCAGAAAACTAAAAAACTAAGGAAATTTATTGTCAGTAGACCTGCTTGGCAAGAAATGTTAAATGAAATTCTTTAGCAAAAAGGAAAATGATACAGGTCAGAAACTTGGATCTATCACAAAGGAAGAACATAAAAGAATGCGTAAGTGAATGTAAAATTAAGTATTTTTAAAATTGATTTAGCAAGTAAAATTTTGTTTAAAATAGAAACAATGCATTTGATTATGTATGTTAATGTGTATATACATAAGATTACACACATTTTTGTATAAGTTAAATGAGTAACAGCAAAGATACGAGGAATGGAGGGGAGAAACAGGACTATCTCATTAAAATATACACTACTTGTGAAGAGATATAGTGTTATGTTAAAGTAGACTTGAGGTAGTTGTAAATATACATTTACAATCTAGGACATTCTAGGACAACCACCAGGCAAAGTAAAAAAGTACAACTGACATGCTAAGAAAGAAGAGAAAATGGAAATCATATAAAATGCTTAATTAAAACCACAAAGGCAGAAAAAGAGTGAAAGACAAAACTAGAAATAAAAAACAAGGGTAACAAATAGAAATCAGTAACAAATATGGTAAATACCAATTCAACTATCTCTGCAATCACTCTGTCAATAGTTTTAAGTGAACCATTAAAAGAGATTGTCAGATATGTCTTGGAGCTATCCAATTCATGCGTGAGGGAACTGGAATATTATTTATACATCATCTTCCATTATTGGTTCAAAGTTCTTGGGAATGTTAACTTCCTAGTACCTACAGCCTGGTACACAGCTGCAAAACTGGAATTCAGTGGTCACAGAAAGCCCTCAGGTAAAGAAATTAAGGTTCTAACATGTAGAAGTTGGGCCTGCATACAATGCAGGGGTGAGAATAAGGGGTAGGAGTAAGAGTAAGGGAAATGGAATAGGTCAGCTATGAAATGCCTTTGTATTTGTCAACATAATCATGCTACTCTTTTTTTTTTTTTTGAGATGGAGTTTCGCTCTTGTTACCCAGGCTGGAGTGCAATGGCGCGATCTCGGCTCACTGCAACCTCCGCCTCCTGGGTTCAGGCAATTCTCCTGCCTCAGCCTCCTGAGTAGCTGGGATTACAGGCACACGCCACCATGCCCAGATAATTTTTTGTATTTTTAGTAGAGACGGGGTTTCACCATGTTGACCAGGATGGTCTCGATCTTTTGACCTCGTGATCCACCCACCTCGGCCACCCAAAGTGCTGGGATTACAGGCTTGAGCCACCGCGCCCGGCATAATCATGCTACTCTTTTAACTTTGGTTCTGAAATTCCTTGAAAGTATGCAGTATGTTCCAAAATGCAAACTGTTATGCCTATACAATGTTTGCCTTCACTGATTTTAACTGACTAAAATGTTCAGTTCAATATTCTAAATAAATCAGCATTTTGGCAAAAAGACTAAAAGGGATTGTCAAAGTGGATCAACAAAACAAGAACCAACTGGATGTGGTTTACAAGAAACCCACTTTAAATGAAAACACAGATTAAAAGTAAATAGATGGAGAAATACATGCCATATTAACACTAATTAAAAGAAAGGGGAGTTGGCCGGGCATGGAGGTTCATACCTGTAATCCCAGCACTTTGGGAGGCCAAGGCAGAAAAATCACATGAGGTCAGGAGTTCAAGACCAGCCTGGCCAACACAGCAAAACCCTGTCTGTACTAAAAATACAAAAATTAGCCAGCTGTGGTGGTGCATGTCTTGGGAGGCGGACGGTGCAGTGAGCCAAGATGCTGCCCCTGCCCTCCAGCCTAGGCCACAGAGCCAGACTCTGTCTCAAAAAAAGAAAGTGGAGTAATCTGTAATAATTTCAAACAAGGCAGATAAGGCAAGTTATGTTATTGAGAATAAAGAAGGGCAGTGCATAAGGATAAAAAGGCCAGTTCTCCAAAAAGGTGTAACAATGCTTAGCGTGTATAAGCCAAACAACAAAGTGTCTTTGTAGGCAAAAACTGATAGAACTGCAAGGAGAAATAAATGAATTTGCTATTATAGATGGACACTTTAACACCTCTCTATCAGAAATGGACAGATCAAGCAGAGAGAAAACCAGTAAGGACATAATTGAACTCAACATCACTCAACTGGATATAATGAATACTCACAGATTACGTCACAGAAGAAACAACAGAACACACATTTGTACACTCACATCAGATATTCATCAAGATAGACCACATTCTGGGCCATAAAACAAACCTTAACATGTTCAAAAGAACAAGTCATAAAATGTCTCCTCTCAGGCCACAATAACATTAAATTACAGTAACAGAAAGATAATCGAAAAAAATCCCCCAAATATGCTTGGAGATTAAACAACACACTTCAAATAACATAGAGGTCAAAAAAGAGATCTCAAGAGAAATTTTAAAATATTTTAAGCTAAATGAAAATAAAGACACAATTTATCAAAATAAAGTGACAGCAGTGCTTAGAA